CTAACCCGTTCCCTAACCCGTTCCCGTTCCCGTTCCCGTTCCCTAACCCGTTCCCTAACCCGTTCCCTAACCCGTTCCCGTTCCCGTTCCCTAACCCACGCTGGCGCAGGCCCTTCGCGCTAAGCCGACCCATCCCCCTTGCCTAGCGCCACTCTGGCCTCACACAGCCGCACACAGAACTTCCCCACCTTGCACGGACTAAAAGGTAGACGAACCTCACATGCTCACCTCATCCAGCGGGGAGTGTTTTCGAATGCTAAAGGAAAGGCACCTCGTTTCGCTTACTTGAAAATAGAAAAATGGGTAAAGAAGCACGTTGGGATTGAAGGAAATCCAAAGGGTGCGAAAGATGCATAGGCTGATGCATGTTGGCCTCAGCCTAGCTAAGTTATTGGAAGTGTGTTTGATCACCAACAGAAGGAGTGTTTATGAACAAATTCTATCCATGAAAGTAGATACAACACTCATAAATATTGTAACTAAGAAATGTTATTGCACTACTTTTGATTTTCGTTTGATTGCCTATTATCTACAACGCTATAGGTGAGGATTTATTGTGTTTGGGCACCCATTTCCAATTTTGGCTTTATCAAAAGATTGTTCAATATTAAATATATATTATCAGAAACATGGCATTCATCAAAAATAGGAAACATGCATATTAAGAGACTAAAAAAGCGTAGACAGAGTATTGTGCTACGTTGAAGAGGCACTGCAAATATTCCTAATTAAATGATACTAAGAATCACACCTACATCGCATGCCGCATAAGGGCGTGGTATGCTGAAAAAAAATGCTACTCAAACGTACTTGCATAGACTATAACTCTATCGGTATCATCTTTCAGATGTACGGCAAAATTTCATCTAGAGTTTTAAAGTAATTATTTTTTACAATATTTCGATTTTCATTATCAAAACTAGAAATTACACTTAAATACTGTCATTATTGTGGCAACAACTTTTACTTACGATGTTTCAATATTCTATTTGAAGTGATTATGTCAAGCTATACGTCAAACTCCAATAACACGATATGCAAAGTGGAAATACAGATGATGAACTCAAGAGAAACCAACCGTGTGAAAAGGGTGGTGGAGAAAATAAAAAAGAAAGATAAAAATAAAACCAACTACTATGTCAACTCTGGTGTGCGATTCCGCATACATACACAAACAGCATAAGGGAGAAGTAGGGCCTACCCCGACCGTGCATATTGTATTCGTAAGCCCAAGAGAAAAAGTCATTTAGTAGTGGATTAATGACTCATCATGCTGCCCTAAGGGGTAACTCCCATGAGGATAGATAGGGCATCGAAGGGGTGTGTCCTAGTGCATGTATCGTCAGAAAAGCAAGCTGTCTCGTAGATCTCTCACCTTTCGGACCGTTCTTTCAAATGGAAAGCCACATTGAGCGTCGTAGGAATCCCGAATGATGGAGTTTTTCGTTGAGAGAAACAACGGCACAGATGCCAGGTACTCCATCGCCTGACACTTTGCCATTCGGTTATGCACTATCGGCAAGAACCATCTCGCTACAACGGCACCATTTTCCATTTGCATCAATTTCGTATACCCTTTCACAATACCTGGAGTGTGGCAAATCGCTGGGTACGAATTGCAGGTCGTGTGGTTGACTGTGTTTATGGGCCTCAGTTTGATCGCCCACAGCGGCGGAGTGAGGGTGATATGAGTCTTATTGGTAGCCCTCTTCCCGCCAACCCATCTAGGCACCGCCAGCCTCGTGAAAATTGCCTCACCATGTGCGGCGTATGCTCGCCGGTAAAGGCTATCTGTAAAACTGGCTAAATCCCAGAAATCCGTCATGTTGTGTGAATGTGAGTGCTCAGATCCTGCCCTTGGCAGGTACTTCATCCAGTGCTCAACACGTATCTCAGATACGTATAGGAAAGTTACCTCACCAGTACCTGAGAACGAATTCGCGAAGTCTAGCCCAATGAACCCTGCACGCATACCGTAAGGGGACCGTGCAGCCTGCCGCTCATCCATTGGCATCGAGAAGACGTCCCTCTCGACCTCCCATGTGATAAGATCCAGGTAGAGTGCTGCAATAATGGACTGATTACTGAACCATCCCATTTTACGTACATATGGTGGTGCTTTCGAATTTGTTAAATTGAAAGCCTTCTCTATAAACTCCTTATATGCCCACACTCGGGCAACCACCACCCCCGAGTTTAGGTGGCGTTGCGGGGATAGATCAAAAGGCAGACTGATCTTATGCGCTGGGTGCTCCGCGGCATACTTCCGAAGCTTCTCATAAACACCTTCATAGCTTGGTAGACAATCCATCCAAGATGAGAATAAATTTGGTGCCCAGCAGCCAGCCTCAGCGCTAACTAGGAACGGTGCCATCGCGCGGCCCTGCCGCACCGCCACCGCGTCCAGCTTTTCGGGAGTCGCAGCAGACTGCGCGAGGAAGTGATCCAGGAACGGATTAAGGTCTGCACCCGTGAAGATTGTGTCTGAGTCCAACATAATGACCACGTCTTGTGGATGCAGCTCCGCATTTTTGATGGCCGCTTCCATAAAGTCAATCTTGGACGCAAGTTTGTGAAACGGCATCTTGTAGCCGGCAACCACCACAGGCAGCCCGCTTAGATAGGCTGAGCCCACAGAATAGCAAGCATTTTCATCAATTTTATTACTCATAATGAAGATAACCACGCGAGGCCCTGTGGAGCGAACAAATATATCCTGACTTTCGTTGCAGGGAAGCAACGATGACTCAATTGGTATTCAGCTTGTGTCACCAGCGTAGTATAGCCAAAGAAATACTAAAAGCGCAAAAAGGATCCCAACAAAAAGCGACCGCCGGAGGTATCCTCTAAATTTATCATTTCTCAACCGCTCTTTCGCACTCAGTAGTATTCCTTTCATCCGTTTATAGTCCTCCTTTGAGAGACTTTTGAATATACAGTCGTTTATATGTTGAATAAATGCAAGCAATGTGTATTATTTTTATGTCTAAACGAATTCAAGTTTGTGAAAAGAGGGAAGAAACAAAGTAGGAAGTAATCACAATGTTAATTTGAAACTAGATACAAAAAAAAATTATCGGTCATCAGATTCCTCTCACCTGGCGTCACAATTGCCCGCACGGCAGCATGCGAAAATTCCTCCACGCGAGTAGCACCTGAATCGGTACAGCGGAGGAGCAAAACACACCCTTGACGGTGCTGGCTGCTAAGCCCTCGACAAGCCCAACGACGCGGACAAACAGCAAGCGTGAAAACTCAACCCGAGCACATAAGATCCGTTCAGAAAGGATAAGCTTGACACTGCACCTCGTAATGACTCGGAGAAAGGGTCTGTCTGACCGTGATGAGTACGATCAGTCTCGCCAAAATCATATCAGGAATGTCGAATGGCCGGACTCACGTATCCACGGTATTGGCACGCACAGGCCGCGGAACAAGCCTCTAACCCTAATTTTGTCCTCAACACGAGGGGAACGGGAGAGACACCGACATCAACCACTCAAGCTGCCACTGTTCGGGGAACGCGCTCGTGCACTCCTCTCCTCTCCCTCCTACCTTCCTGCTGCACACCGGCCTTCGCCATGTTGTGGAGACTCAAAAGCAGAGGAAGGACACACACACACACCCGAACTCGCTAAAAGTATTTGCTGATTCTAAATAAAATTTACCTTGTCTTTTTCATCTCGAAATAGAAAACGAAAGAGGCAGGAGAAAATATTTGGACACTTGGAAAGGCAAAAAAGAGTGGAAAATGCGGTGGTTAGTCTGTGTTGTTCTCAGCCTAACCAGCCTATCGGATACATGTTTGATCGTTAACAAAAAGGGTACCTACAATAAACTTGTACCAATAAAGTAGAACCAACATTGAGGAATCCTTTATCTACAAGAGGTCCCTGGAATAATTTTTCAACTTTCACCACCATTATCCGCTATGGTGTAGATGCGGTTTTAACATGTTCAGAATCCAGGTTTGAATATTTATTGATATAAGTCATTGTTTATTATTAATACGGTTCAATAAAGTATAGTATTGGCCAAAAATCAATGCAATGCAATTAAAGGAGTAAAACAATTCTCGGACAGAGCGCACTTCCAAGCTTTAAAACACAGGACTAAGAATTATCCACTCACAAATATTAAGTTTTGTACGAACATTTCGTAGAATGCAAGGGACTGGAAACCTAAGAAAGTAAGCCTTCCATAAGCACTTAAAACACAGCAACTACTTTAGAATCGCCGTGATGGATTCTAAAGAAATGTTTCATTCTATGAAAAGGCAACAGTAAAAAAAATTATTTGGCGCTACTATAATAACCAAATCTAAAACGATATTCTTACCCCACGCATAGTTGAATCGCAATCCGTATTTTTTTAATGTTTGAATTCCTCCACTATGAATATCTATAGGTTCCATATGTTCGATCCGAAACAACTTGATCTTACAATTAGAAATGCAAACGAAGCATACCGTGGTAACCTACTCTGTGTAGAGAGCCATTAGAAGAGGGGTGGGATGGAAAAAAAAGAGAACCGTACACAACACCTACTATAGTGTGGTATCCCGTATTCATACGCGGGAAGGGGAAGGATGGCCTAGAGTCTCCCTCTTCGTGCATATTTTGTTTACAAGCCGTGGTCATAAATAGATTTTGCAATAGGCAAATTTCTTGCCAAACTATTCTCGAGGAGGAACCTTAAGGGACTTGATAGTGCATCGAAGGGGGGTGTCCTGGTATATGCATCGTAGGGAAAGTAAAGTGCCTTAAAGACCTTTCACCTTTTCAATTGTTCCCTCAAATGGAAAGCCACATTTGGCGTAGTAGGAGTCTCGAATGATCGAGTTATTTGTCGATAGAAACAGTGGTGCAGATGCCAGGTACTTCATGGCCTGATGCTTTGCCTTTCGGTCGTGCGCCATTGGCACGAACCATCGCGCACCGATAGCGACAAGCTCCATTTGCGTTACCTTAGTAAAACCTGGATCGAGGCCTGCTGCGTGGAAAATGCCCGGGAACGTACGACGCGTCATGTGTTTGACTGTGTCTATGGGCCTCAGCTTCAGCGCCATCAGCGGTGGTGTGAGGCTAATGTAGTTCGCCCCGGAAGCCCTCTTCCCGCCAACCCACCTGGGCACCGCAAGCCTCGTGTAAATTCCCTCACCATGTGCGGCGTACGCTCGCTTGTAAAGGTCACCCACATACCGGCCTATTCGATTGAACCGAGTTATGCCGTGCGAGTGCGGGCGTTCTGGTCCGCCCACTGGAAGGTACTTCGTCCAGTGTTTATCGTGCATTTCGACAAGGTATATTGTTATTAGCGTGTTAGAGGTCGTAAACTCATTGACATAGTCTAGCCCAATGAACCCTGCACGCATACCGTAAGTGGACCGTGCAGCCTGCCGCTCATTCTTTGGCATCGAAAAAATGTCCCGCTCGACCTCCCATTTCAAGAGATCAAGGTAGAGTATTGTAATGATGGATTGATCGCAGAACCATCCTTTTTGAGCATTTAATGCTGGTGTTTGTGTTTTTGTTAAGTTATGAACCTTTTGTATCAACTCCTTGTATGCCCACACACGAGTAATCACAACACCCGCATTTAGCTGACGTTGCGCTACTAGGTCAAAAGGAAGTCCAAGCTCATGTTCTGGGTGTGCCGCGGAGAATTGACGAACCTTTATATATGCCTGTTCAAAAGCAGCTCGGCATTCATCACCACTTTTGAATACGTTTGGTGCCCAACAGTCATCCTCACCGTTTGCTATGAACGGTGCCATCGCACGGCCCTGCCGCACCGCCACCGCGTCTAGCTCCTCTGGCGTTGCGGCGGAGAGCGAGAGGAATCGATCCAGGAACGGGTTAAGATCCGCACCTGTAAAGAATGCGTCTGAATCCATTACAATGGCCACGTCTTCTGGATGCATCCCCGCATTATCCATAGCCGTTTCCATGAACTCAAACTTTGATAAAAACCCACTGTACGGCATTTCATAGCCGGCTACCATCACGGGCAGTCCGCTTAGATAGGCTGAGCCCACAGAATAACAAAGGGCATCATCAATTTTATTACTCATGACTAAGATAGCAACTCGAGGCCTTTTGGTGCGAGCAAACATATCCTGTATACCACCACGGGGAAATATCGAGGGCGAAAGACGGGTCCAGTTCGAATCGCCCGCTTGGTATAGGCAGAGAAGTATAAAAAGCGTGAAAAAGAACCCAATGATAAGCGATCGTCGTAAACGAGTCTTAAAAATACTTCGTCGTGTCTGCCTTCGCAGACGAGCTGTTAGTGGTCTCATTGTTTTAGTTTCCTTCTTGGGGAACTTCTCACAGAAAGTGAGCTCTTATGCCTCCAAGCAAAATAGAAGCAATGTGAATTATCTTTATGGCTGATCTAATCTGAGGCAAGAGATGAAGAAAGAGGAGAATAAAAATAGGCAAACAGTTGCAGTACGGGTTCGAAGAATGAGTATAATATACCATACACTAGTTACACATCTCAATTTTCCTGAGTAACAGTCTCAGATCTTGATTCAAGATTCCTATCACCCGGAGTAATGAAGAACCCGTCTAAGGGGTTGTGATTGTCGTATAAACTTTCCTTCTCTTCCTTGAAGCACCGTGTAATGCCACCACGTGCCTCACATACCTCTGAAAAGGAATCTGAAGAGGGGTTCTCTCACCAGAGAAACAACACGGGTGGGGGATGAACCCAAGAACTACTTCCAGAAAGAAAAGGGAAAAGGTTTCAGCATGAACCCTGAACGCCCTTTACACCAACAATGAGAAGTAGTTTAATTGTGGTACTCACAATTTACGTAAATCACTAGATCTAAATCATCTGGTGCGTTGTGAAGATTTGTAGAGATCACAAAGAAAGTGTTCCAAGTGTGTGTCTGCCTTGATGGTCAAGTTGCGATCTTCTCCCTTGAGAGACTCTTCTCTAGGGTGATGTATAGAGGGGGGAGGAACAACGGCTCTGGCGATGCCCCGCCCCATTCCCCTCTCAACGTACTGGGAAAATCTGCCCACCTCATCAAGAGAACCTCAGTGGTTGATCCCACTCCCATTCGTATCGTGAAGCAGAACATCTCGCTCTCCAGACACCTCCACCAGGAGGATTCCACCCGGCTAACACGGTGGACCACACGTCGTTTCGATTCACACAGAAGCTGAACCCAGCATTCCCATTGTTTTCGATAAAAACCCCAACGCCATACCGCTCAACAGCCACAGAAATCCCAGTATAGGAATATTATTCCAAGGGCCACCCCCACGGAAGCCTCAGGCCCTGCCGAGCTGCTTTGCCGCACGAGCGCCTTATTTGAAACGCCGATGTATACCCCGTTGAGAGCTTGGAAAGGAACTCAAAGGGGGCCACTTGGCCGGGTACGCCACAGAAGAGCAGAAGACTGTTGAATGGATTTGGGGGCATCATTTTCGACACGTCCATTCGTTTGATCGTGTCCGCTACGAGCTTAGATCATAGGAGCGAGGGGGAAAACATTAGCTACGACGTCGCTTATAGTCTAATAAATGCAAAAGTGATGAGGATGGGACGTTAGGATTCGAACATAAGCGTGGATGAGAATATTCTCCTATGTTCAGAGAATCAAGAGATAGTGGGAGGAATCTTTAGTTTACGCCCAACCCTAGAATATCACACTGTATCCCCTCGCACTGTTCGCTAGAATATGGAGTCCTAATCGATGCGGCAAGCTACTACGGGAAATATTGTAACCCTGTTGCTTGAAGAATCGAGAGCAAAACTCTAGACAGCAGAAAGAATTCATCTCATGTACCTCAACTCTTGCATATGAAACAAGGTGAAGTCGCACTGAAACACCAGGTTGCATAGATTCATCAAAATGAAATTGTATTTAAAAAGTCTTTCTTGAGGAAATAGAAAAGGAGCCAATATGTTAATTACTCACTGAGCTATGAAGCTTCATTAAACCTTCTTATTTAAATGCATAGCATCAAGTTCTCTGACAGTGCAACAATAACTGGTCTTTCTGTGCAAGAATCGAGCTGCGACATGCTTACTGTAAGCTAGCAGAGAGACAAAAGGAAAGAAAAAGGCGTACAACTCCCCTCTCTTTCGTCTAAAAGATGTGATTGTGATCAGTTTATGATTATGAAAGCTGATATTTAAAGATCTCTGGTGGATATTTGCATTTTGAGAACTTAATGAAGTGAAATAGATGATTTGACCATATTAGGAGATATCGTATTGAGTAGTTCTGATGTCGTAAAGGTTCCCACAACATCGAGTGTACTGGGATGATTCAATGTCAAGCAGATTAAGTTACCTCCTTTGGTTTTGCGATGTCAACGTGGTGTAGTTTAGTTTTTGGAATTGTTGAAAAGTAATCAGACAAACGTGAATAACATTAAAACAAGCGATGAAAAGCTATGCAATTTTAGGGGAAAGGCATAGCTAAGAGAAAAAAAGAACACGCTGTCAAGGAATGAGCTCTGAAAAATTGATAAGAATAAAGAAAAATGAAATTAGCTTTGAACCAAAAGTAGGAGTTAGATAGACATCATTTAGTCAGCAGAAAAGTTCCCGTCGTGCTCTCTCCCTGTGTTTCTAATTTACGAGACGTAAGATGGAAACCCAAATAAAACAAATCCGATAGTAAATGGAAGGTGACAGAATTTGGAGAACGCTTTCGCACGAGTCAGCAACGCTTCCTCTAGAATGATTCACTCTCACTGCTGGTGATTAGCTCCATGTCTATCAACTCTGTACTGCACTGTTCTCTCAGTGCCTTCACTCCACTTATTTCTTCGATAATAGAAGGATCATTGATACACCTAAACAAAAAATCAACGCCTAGATTTTGGTATGCGAGCAGAATGGGCTCTGAGCACGCAGTGCAATAAGGGCTACGCTCGGCGCAATAGAAACTTACACCGTAACGGTACACATCACCACGAATCTGCTGAGGAATTGCACCAAGACAACAGATACCTTGTGTTGCCTCGCCGTTGTGTTCGCCTCGGTATGCAGGACACCGAAAGCGGCTGGGATGTTGGTAAATCTGAGCCAACAACTCCACAGCGATAGCAGACGCAATGGAGGAGACCCCTGGGCGAGTAACGGTACACTGCTCGTCGAGCGCCCGCCCGCTAACACTGTCCAAAGGCCCAACGACACTGCTACAGAAGTAGCACCCCATGGAAGAGTGAGATACATGCGATGGACCTTCAGGGCCCAATGGTCCGGCATCGATGGCTGAGCTTGGCGATACAACACCATGTCTCATTACAACATACTGATGAAAGCCCAAAGCAACGTTGATAATGGGAATCCCGTGCGCTGCTGCAATGATTGTGGGAAGCCACCGTGCCTCGCTACTGTCTGTCAGAAGAAAGACCACATCGTGCTCCCGCATTAACTGAATAAGCCTTTCTATATCCTCCCTTGTTTCAGCTTCCTTGGCTGAATCCGTTCGGTGGCCTGGCATGTGCACAGTCATTACCATGTGCCGCACATCCACGGTGGGGATAATAGCACGTAGGGCATCCGCAGCTGCCTCGACTTTCGGGCGACGTGCGCTAGCATCGGATACCGAAAATAAGGACTGGCGTGCAAGATTGGAGAAAGAAACAACACTGCGATCTACAGCTGTGAGGTGGCGCACTCCCCACATGAGCAAGTTGCGAGACACATTGCATCCTAGGGTACCCATACCAAGCAGCAGAACCTTGCACTCGGCCAGGGAGGACAGCTCAAGTGACGGCAAAACACGCCAACGCATGAGCTCCAGGTTGAGGCGAGAATCCGAGTCTGCGCGGAGGGCGGGATCCATCATGGCGCTGAGGTCGACCACCGCCACACCCTTCTTTCGCCATCCAGTTGGTCTCAGAAGGGCTAAATCGTCCGCTGGCGGCTGAATGTCACTGTTAAAAACACTGTTGGAACAGCTATTTCTTAGGGTGTTCAAAGCGGCAGCCAGAGCCAGTGCGTCCAGGGGCTCACAGGTGCACTCCACATACCAGGTACTAGCCACCCCACCAGGGCGCAGGGCTAAGAATGAAAACGATGTCATGGATGGTAGTGCCAACCGCATACATAAGATGATATTCCGTGCGGCCCAGGAAGCACTGGTCGGTACGGGAGAGAAATTAAAAAAACAAACAACGGGGTTTCTCCCCTCATCCTTAAGTTTTGAGTAATTTCCTGGAGTAAATGCATGAAATGTAACATGCTCTCTTTCACTTACAACAAAAATAAATGGATTGCAACTATATGGCTTTTCCAAAAGGAGGATTCTCCCATGCTCAAGGATTTCTCCGGTAATCCTTTCACACATATAACTATTCTCCCCTCCTGTGTGGGAAGATGATATTTTAATTGGGCTGTTAAGAGCAAAGGACGGAAATGCCTCTCGGTGGTAGAAAAGGTAAGACTTTGCATCGACATAAGTGAACATGCCAAATGGTGTATAGTTGGCCACACGCCATGCTTCTTCCTCTTCGTGGTGTGAAACGTATTCCGTGAAAAAAAGGGGAATAAGTAATTCCGAACAAAGCACTCCTATGAGGCTTAATTTTGTGTCTAAATCAAGCAGCTGAGGAAGTACATTAAAGTTCTTCAGAAGTCCTGGAAAACGAACGGTAACAAAACTGCTTCCTGGTGTTGTAGAATGATACATTTCACTATTATCGAACGCGTCCTGACTAAAGCATACCATTGAACAATCGCTAATGCATGCATTGGCCGAAATGTCAGTCCGAAACGTACCATGAATAGGCACCACTTGGTCATCCAGTTTCCATTCAGACAATTTGAGATGCCTCAATCTTTGCCAAAACTGGATGTCGACATAAGCCTGGGCTTCACAAAACGTAAGACGACATGGTAACTCCATAAGTATTCAAGCTATCGGCTTAAGCAGTAGGGAAAGCAGACAAGTTTCAATGAATGCATATAAACATATGTTGAAGGTTTAAAACGCACCCCAACAATGGCACATTTATTGAATTAGCTTTAAAGGCTTTAAGAAAATCATACACTGTCAGCCTCTCTCTGAAGATCGAAAATAATAATACACCACTGAATATAGGCCTGTGATTACTCATAACCCGGTAAGAAATGAAGCTCAAAGCAGCGATTCAAAATTGGCACATGATTCTGGAATAAAAAAGTAGTTTTCCATATGAAAAGGTAACCTCATAAAAAAAAATAAGGTCGCTACGGTTTAGTTAGCCGGACCATGCAGATCTAAAAACCAAGTTTCAATGAATAATTCGTTAGTCAAGAGAAATATAAAAGTATGGTCCCAGGAGAGTCAAGCACAAGGTTGAATATAATATGGCAAGAGTTCAGTTATATCGTGCCACTAAGCAGTGACTCATCAGTAACTCACTTCATATGAAAAGAAATGAAGGAGTTTCCGTAATCAGCGCATTTTACACAGTAATAAAGCCTTTCTTGGATGCAATAGACACATTAGTACAATTAGTTGTTTTGCCAAAAGGTGAACAAATACGTTTTCGTGACATACAGTTTCCAGTTTAGACTCCTGCTGGTCGTGATCCAAGGTTGGAGTTACTCTCCCTGTGTATGATTAAGCAAAGCAGTAATGTCTTGGTTGCGTTCCAAATGTAAATGCCGTACTTCTGGCTACACAAGCACTCTAAAAAGAAAGGAGTGCAGCTTTTTTCAGTTGTTGGAAACTGAATACAGGTTATTTATTGCATGCAATGTATATGAGAAGAAATAGAATAAGGTTGAACATCTTATATTATACGATGTTACTATTGTCAACAAACACGACATGCTGTGACTCTAGATTGACACCTGCAAACCCTCCAAGTTTCTCGATGAGACAGCAATTTTTCGGAGAACTCTCTTGAACTTCTACAGTGTGAACCGCGGAGGGGGGAATGCTCTCTAAACCTTGGAGGCTTTGATACCCCACTTGGAGTGATTCATGCCCGCAGGATAGGAAATAGTGTTAACTCTATCCAAACTCATCAAGTCTCCTTCATTCCTTGAAGCTGAGTCAGAGAACTATTCAAATCAACTTTTACACTCAATTTTAGTAACCTAGAAATCGTTATTCTATTCCACGAGGTCATCAAATCATAGTGCCACGCCTGTGGACCAAGCACACGCCACACCAGTGCTTAGCGAAGCGTTGAAATTCTCTCTGCATTTGTCTTTCATAGTTATGAGAAACTATACAGTGTCAGTTCTAAGATACAACACACCTCAATGCATATATTCTAGCTTCCAACGTCACCTATATGGCACCATTTGAGAACCAAGATACAGTGGATCAGAAAAGAATGTGTAACGCTGAAAGGAAATGTGTATGTGTTTTGTAAAAGGCCCATTCAATAGCTATAACGTCTGTGTTATATTAGATCACATTCTTGACATCTTGTAGAATCGACATGCGTGACTTTAAAAGATAATATTGTCCAGGGCAGTCATCCGTATTTATTTTTAATCTCCACCCTTTTTGTTTCCCGAGCCACTTGCCCCCATTCTATCATCTTTTTAGATTAAAACGGCCCACTTGGTGTACATAACTTGAGCGAACCAGCTTAGACTAAGCTGTACAACCCCATGCCTCTGTGTGTAAATAAGAACACTCGCAGTTCCCATTACCATGTGTCCGAAGCTAAAATCACCACAAGGGGGTGGGGGGCGGGGAGCCAGCCCGGGGCAGGGGGAGCTGGCAAAATCCCCCCCGACCGGCCATTCGCAGTGTGACATAAGCAAAAATACTTTTATCATGCACCTGTAAATATAAAGGACAGATCACTGAAACTCTTTTACCTTCAGCTTGTTTACCAAATAAAACTAGGATGCCGTGACTTCGAAAGCGAAACCTATATCGACAATTTTCCAAGCTACGCCATGGGCGCCGCGGGATTCGAAACACGAGCCCACAAAAAGCACACAAAAAATCCGTTCCTGGGTACTAAAAAAAAAAAGGCTACAGGCGAGAAAAGACCCTTCCACGGCGTAAGGAAAATACATTATGAGCGGAGGGGCCTCCCCCTGGGCCACCGCTTTGTCCACCGCCATGCCTTACAGCAGGCCCAAGCGCCCCGCACCCCTTGCGGCAGAAAATGAGCGGGGGGGGGGTGCTGGCTGGTCTTGGCCCGCGCCCTTTGTGGTGGGATGCTTGTCGACGCGCTGCTTTAGGAAACAGCGAATTTACCTTAATGCAAACGTGGCCCTGGCCATATGGGGGTGGGGGGGGGGGGGGTTGCGCGAATCATACGCCAACCCCACCGCCAGGGGGGCTATGCTTATATTGATCAATGGCAGTGATGCTTTCCTTGATTTATTTATGGCAGCAGTATATTTGCAAATCTTCTTGCTTATGGTGTTTTTATCGTCCTTTTCTATCAACCAACTTGTATTTTAATCCGGCACCTGCTCGGGTGATAAAGCTAGGCCTTCTAAAATTTCTTTCTTTCTTTAGGATCACAACTAAGTTTACTGGTGGGCTAATGCAAGATCATCTGAGGGAAATTGAGGGGACACTCGCCCGAACAAGTGAGCGAAAGAATACCATATTGTATAAACTTGCAAAACGGAGAGCTGAAGAAGAGCGTTTAGCACAATTGGGTATTAACAAAATACCACCTAGCCCACATAACGTGAAGGATATTGGTGTGATCAAGTTTGTTTTGCACAGGCTAAAGCAAGAAATTGGTGACAAGATCGCTCGGATCCGCAATTCTTCTCTTATAAGTATTGAAAAAGATGGTGAGGCAGTAGTGAGAGCAAGAAATGACGAGATCAATAAATTAATAGTTCAAAAAGATCAGTGGGAAAATAGGCTTGCTTTTTTAAAGAATGGGGATTGGGTTAATTCCACATCCATCAAGGCCTTTTTTGGTTGCGCGAAGAACCTACCTGAAGCTGCCGACTTTCACACCAAACGCGAGCGTCCTGTGGAAGAGGACAATACTGCATACTCATCCCCTAGGAGTCATTCGTCTGGATCGACTCCGGATGAGCCAGAGCCTCTCGAATCCACTATCAAAGGAACCTACCTCGATTCTGTCGTATGGCTTTTGTCACCAGAGCTTGAACAAAAAGTTTTGCAACTTGAAAAAGAAAGTGAGATAAAGAACCGTCCGGAGAGTAATGCAACTGGCAGAGGTGCAGAGCCTAGAAAACTAGGAGAATCAAGATATGTATCCTCCTTTCATAATTTTGAACTTCCCGAAGAAAAGGAGTTTGAACGGATGGCTGTGGAGAAACGAAAACTGGGTTTAAAGAAGCGTCTTGAATCCTTAAAGGATAACATTTGAAATGCTATATCTTGGCACGTCAATTGTGCTCATCAGTTTAATAAATAATAATAATAAAAGATCCCCTTTGGGCAAATCTTTGTTATTTTCAATCCATTATCAATTAGAAAACTTTATTGGCTCCTTTACCTTCCCTTTTAGAGATTTGAAGGCTTTTCAGCCACATTAACTTTTGTTTTTTTTTCTAATATATAGAGTTAGTTTATATTCATTACAGTATTTGACGCTGTTCAGATGCGAGGCACAAAAAGAGTTAGAAATGAGACAGTGGCGCTTAAACCGATAGGGCGCTTCTTAGTGTCTGATGCCGCGATTGTAAAGAAAAAGTCCAGTTGTGAAAATATCGACGGAGCTGCCTACGATTTTGACAGTTCTGAGATTGGCAACGGAACTCCAGGGAATCCCTATTACCTGCCTCTGCGAAAAATTAGGAACCATAATGGTTGCTTTCATTGTCCGAGTAGCTACTGCAAGTGTTTACATTTTGAGGAGTTGCTTTCGCAAGCGTATGAACGATTACCGATGAAAAGGATAACAGAGGTTGCAGGTTCTCGACATCTATGCGCCAAGTCGTTGCTCCCAACGTTCATTACTCGAGCCATTCGGCTGATGAAAATAACCTCTTCTGACGTTTTTTATGACTTGGGTTGTGGAAATGGATCAGTATTATTTCAAGTTGCCTGCCAAACCGGTACGAAGTGCGTTGGCATAGAGATAAGTCAACACAATGCCAATGTTGCACGAGAAGCGTGGCCAATTTTTCGTTCTCTTTATGAAACCCATAATGGGAAAACAACGGGATCGGTTGAAATCATCGTTGGAGATATAGGCGACATTCTGTCAAGTTCTAGTTTTTTGAAAAACAACAACGGTAACGTTGCCATCCTTCTATCCAATCTTCTTTTTCCTAAATCTCTTACACACTACATCTCCGAACGACTAAGAGACGCTCCATCTGGGACTAGGGTTCTGTGCTTTGATGATCTGTATCCTCATGGAAGGTCAGTGGCTTCCATTCGCGACCCAGAAGCTTTTGAGTTGTTTGAAATGAAAGACTATAAGTGGCAGGAGATGAGCGTAGAATGGTGTGCAACGGAGGGAAACTTTTATATACATTGGCATCGATGACTAGTTTATGTGCCAGATAGTAAGCGATTTCTATTTTTAATTGTACTCATCTTTTGTACCACTTCTTTTATCTTTTCAACAAATTCAATTTCGCCATGTGTAAAAGTGATTGTCGACAATGCATACTGAACTTGCTGATGTATAGGCGATAGGTCTTACTGAGGCTTACACTCCAAACATTTTCTTTCCATTAAGGAAACTTTATCACTAGCTTTCTTAGGTGTTCAGTTTACATAGTAATATTTACAAATTTTCCAAGATCTAACTATGCTCCATCGCTATTATGTAATGCAAATGTAAAAAAGACCATTTATTTTCAACACGGCTGATTGAAACACATTCCTCAAGCTGTCTACCCATCATTGGGATTACTAAGATGCATACATCATTACCGCTTTTTACATATCAGATTCCACCCAATCAAAAAGGGAAAACTCACCAGATTATCTCTTGGTTGGTAATGATTTGAGCGAGAGTGAATAGATTGGTGCCAGAAGCACTTGTGTCGAAAAGCGTTTCCTTGTAGTGTGAATGCCACCTGATTTAGAATTTTCAAATGCGAAGAAAGGTTTGCCCCTTTATTTTGTGTGGTATTTTGACAATGAAGTGGATTTTGTCAACAAGAATGCGTTGACAGAATATTGAGACAACCAACCAACCAAAATAAGGAATTATTATGGGTAGTTTTCTTGTTTCTGTGTTTACACTGAATGTTTTTCCTTGTTGTGCTAATATCATTTTCGTGTATATACTATAACACCAGGGTCTTTCTGTGTATTTGTCTTTACTTGAAAATGAATGCATCTCTAGTGGCCGTGTTGTGGAGCTTATCACAAGAGTCCATAAAGTTATTGAATAAATGAGCATAGTGTGGCAAGGCCGCTACTTATGGATGCGTGCGTATCGAAAACTGAAGCTATACTACATCGTGAAAAGGATGCATCTCAGATTGGGGCATTACTTCCTACAAATGGGAAAACTATCTAAATAGAGTCCCCTTTTTTCTTTGTTTATTCGCATTATCATTTTGAATAATCCTCCGGTTCTATACACAAAAAATAAAATACATTGGTTTCCAAAATAGGAATGCTTTGTAATATTCTAATGTTTACGAATTAACGTCTTACTACTTCTTTTTATATTAAGAATTCAACTACTGTACATTGAAGCTGATCGAACTTGATAAGATAAATATGGTGTTGAAATAAAGCATACCATGGCGTTCTGCTTTTCGAGTGTCTACTTTACGGATGAAAAGTTCTAATGTTCGGATCCAAACACTTCCCTTCTGTGGTACTTTCTTCATAGTCAGTTTTGCATCTTCTTTCCTTGCTCTCTTTTCACCACTTCTTACGTGATTCACTTTATTTGCTTCTCATTGATAATTCGTGAAAAAAATATATACATGCAGGTGAATCAAATGGATGCCTTGGAGAATGAAACCCTTTTCAATTTATCTGAACAACTGGGCAGTGTGACCACATCCAATCCAACGAAACTTTTAGATGATTTACAAATGGCTCTTTTCGGAGGTGCAAATCTAGAGTGTGCCGATGTGCTTAACCGTGTAAGAGGAGTGCTTTGCAATACGCATTTCCACGTAAAAGTGTTGAAAGTCAAAAAGTCGGCAACAATGCGCCAGACCGAGCACAAGTTCCTTGTTCTCGAGGTTATCGCTTTTCTTGGAGACATTTTTCTTTCTGTTGCTTCTGGAGAGGACCCGAGTTTGAAAGTAATCAAGAGACTCGATCAATACCTGTTACCACAACTTTTTCTTACTACATCGGTCAACTCTGAGCTTCTTTGTGAAATCGCGCTCAAGAGTCCTCTTAATATTCTCCATAACGCTTCCCAAAAAGATCCCCAGGTACGATGCATCGTGGACAGACTAGAGGAAACTCTTCTTTCCTGGAAAACTAACTACGGATGTGACTTTCTATTGTCTCGACCTACGGTTTCAAAGGACACTGACATGCCTCCTTCCGCTTCGCTTCTTCGCGAGGTTGCCAATTTGAATACAGTAAGAGAAGTCCCCCAGCACTCTAGACGCCCTGCGGCTGCATGTGCAGTTTGGGATGCAAGCTCTTACAGCCGCCAGCCTGATCATAGATCCTTACTTCACTCGGTGAGAAAAATTCCAGCGTATTTGTTAACTAAGAGGCAACGGAAATTTACAGATGAGCATTATTTAGAATCTTCGTCGCCGCCACTAAGCAAAAGTATCAGCGAAACGTCCCCACTGAATTCGAAGGAAGAATTTTCTTTGCCAGACGCGCCTTCAGATTCAGGGGATAGCGACAGTCTCGCTGCATTTGAAACACCGGTAAAGCGAAGAAGAGCGGACCCTTCGCTGTTTGTTCCTCCTTCACCAAATAGAACATATGAATGCTAAAAGATTCACCTGTCCACTATTCCTGAAAAGGAAAATACTGTATACTGTTGCGATTTTTCACTCTTCAATGTCTCACGCATTTGGAGAACAAAGCTTAGAGTTGTGATGTTATACTTTCTCTATGTTCTTCAATTTTAAGAAGGAAGGATCAACCTCTTTTCCCTTCTTTTTTATCAGCTCCTTCACGTGTAATGGGTATATTGGGCTTTCAAAAATGGATATGCGTGGTCTCGCTCATTTTATTCGGGATATCCGAAAGGCGACAAGCAATCTAAGGGAAGAAAAAGAACGTGTAGATGAAGAACTAGCGAAGGTTCGAGCCAAATTCAGCAACAGCGTCAACATGAGCACATATGACAGGAAAAAATATGTTTGCAAGCTTATGTTCATTTCTATGCTTGGGTATCCTATCACGTTCGGACATTTGGAAGGGCTCGAGCTGATGGCAGGGCAAACCCTTTCAGAAAAGCTTATCGGCTATCTCTCAGTTGCTGTCTTCCTAAATGAAGATAGTGAGCTGCTCACGCTTACAGCGCACACTGTATACCGTGATCTTCTTTCGTTCTCAGATCTTGATCGCGGGTTGGCTCTCTCAGTGGTCGCAAGTACAGGTGGAAAGGATTTCGCCGAGATTATGCATGAAGGAGTACAAAAAATTATCGTAGACGATGTGGTTGACATTCATATACGGAAAAAGGCATTGCTGACGCTACTGCATATCTATAAAAAATACCCTGAAGTAGTCGATCTTCCTTTGATCATTCCCAAGGCTGCAGATCTCATCCTATCTGAACAAGATGGAGCAAGTATGTGTGCCATCAAGTTTCTTCATGGATGTGTGGAGAAACAAAACATGCACCTCTTCAAAGAGGTCCCTTTAAAGCTCATTGATGTCCTTGCACGCATTATTATTGAAAAGAAAACTGAGCCCAGCTACGTCTACTATGGTGTTCCGGCACCTTGGCTTCAGTGCAGCCTCCTCCGCCTCTTACAATGTCTACCTATCCCAGAGGAATCGCATTTGAAGGATCGCATTGTTGTTATTCTGCGGAAAATGGTGAAAGCTACTGATAAGGTTGTGAAGGATGCACAAACGCAATTGAAACAGAAAGGCATTCGTAACCGCGTGAGCATTATGAGTGCTGTGCTCCTTGAGGTAGTTTCCTTATCGGTAGTATGGAACATTAGTCCAAAGCTCACGTGGGAATGTATCGATGTTGTCAGCAGCTTTGTCTTGGAAAAAAGAGACACTAACTTTCGTTACATTGGCCTAGACTTGTTGCGTAAGCTGAGACATGTGGACATCCCTGAGTTTACGTATCAAGCTTATTGTAAACAATATCAATCGCAAATCATTGTGAGCCTACACGATGCAGATGTTTCGATTAGGCGAAAAGCGCTGGATGTGTTGGTGGGAATGTGTAATGCATCTAATTCGTCAGATATCATTAAAACTCTCCTTGTGTACCTTCCGGTTGCAGACGAACCAGATTTCCGGATGTATTTAGTGTCGTCCATAGCGTTTCTAAGCGGGAAGTATATCGATGATCCCAACGCCTACACCGATATCATGCTGACAATTGTCGCGCAAGCCGGTAACACATGTCCTGCTGATATTGTGCATCGCGTTGTCCGCGTCATTATAAACAACCCATCGGTTCAAAAGCATGCTGTCAGCACTGTGTTTCATGCACTCCACAATAGAAAACACCCCTGTGAACCAATGGTGCAAGTCGCAGCGTTCGTTCTGGGTGAGTGTGGATACCAAATTGCTCTTAACCCTGAAAGCACCCCACCCCAACAGTTTGCTGCCTTAGATAACCAACTGGGGTTTAGCTCTACTGCCACGCAAGCCATGATCCTTACCGCCCTTTTCAAATTCTACAACGTATATGATGATGCCGCATTACGGGACAAAATTGTCAAATCATTCGATGCATATAAGAGTTGCATCCAGCCAGAACTACACCAACGTGCCATGGAGTACTTGGCGCTTATTGAGAGTGGGAGCAGGATGCTTATTGATAGACTTTTACAACCTATACCTCCCTTTTCGATTAATGATTACGCATCTTTCGACAGGGAGGGTGAACATGCGCAAGAGGCCTGGACTGCTCATGCGGTTCCATCTGAAAAAAATGTGAGCCACGATAGCCATGCACAACCGCAAGGAAGCTTTGTGCCAAGTGATGAAAAGGTTGGACAGGGTCGTTTTGAACCCTCGACGGTATCTTCGCTAAAATTAAACGCCACTACTGAAACCAGGACTTCAGGAAATTCCGTGACGGAGGAACTATTCCAGACTATCGAGCTGCAAGACGGCGAACGCCTCAAACAAGCCCATCTCGATCATCACAATTTATTTGTCCCTCTCTTGCAAGGCCAAAGTGGGGTTCTTTTTGTCGATTCGTACGTGGAATTGCAGTGTACACAGTTTTACCGTCTAGCGGACTGTCGTGTCTCGGTAGTTATCCAGGATAGGAGCGGGCGAGGCCTAGAACAGGTGTCTCTGGAAATATTGAACGCCGAATTCGGGCTCCTGTTGCAGTCCCGTGGCAGTAACGCCACCTGTGTGCTACCCAATGGCTTTATGACAGTCGAATTTGCTGGCCGCTCGATTTCACCTTTTCATAGTCCCCCATTGGTCCGTCTCAGCTACCGCACTGGCGTTGACAATGATGGGAGTGACGGGACCGTTGGAGTTGAGGTGCTTTATTTGCCAATCGTCACTACGAGCTTTATTTCCCCGTACGAAGTAAGTTGTAACGATGATAATTTTCAGTTGTTTGATAACGTTAAAAAGACTACAACTCCACTGTCCCATACCCTTTCCACATCCATAGACTTTAATAAAGAGTCAGCGCTTCGGGTGCTAGCTAAAATGGGTTTTTACGTGGTGTCTACGGTAGATGATACATTTATGGCCGTTGGTGCACATGCCACTAAACCGAAGGGTAAGACTGTGTATATGCCCGTCGCGTGTGAACTCCATCTAGTTGGCGAAAAAATAGAAGCAAGAGTCTACGCATTATCTCATGTCATACAAGAAGTTGTGCTTGATATGCTTGGACTTATTTTTGAACCTTATTCTTAAGCAAAAAAGTACGCTATAGTAAATAATAGCCGCATACCTTACAACTTCGATGAATGTCTACCTGTTTTTAATGAACATTTGTTGAATGCACGTGTTGTTTTCTTACATTTACAATCACTGATACCTCTTTTCGTGCTAATACACTACCTTTCCTCCCATCTATCCCACCACACTCAGAGAGGAATTAATTGATACCCCTACGGTTTCACTTTTTTTTGTTGCGAGTGGGAAACTCGGGCAGGCGATAGTTGCGACTAGTAACGGCGCCACATCTTCATATTTGTCTCTCCAGTGCTTGTAGTAAAGCTTTGGAGGAATACGTTGTGATCTAGATTAATCCATGGGCTTAGCATGGCTAATGGTTGTATGCTTTATCACTTCCTTCATGTTTCCCAAAAAAAAGACATGAGGGAGCAGATTTAAGTATCCCGAAACATGCACTGAAAATTTTTTGGAAGGAACTTAGGGGGGGGGGGGGGGGGGGGAGGCTATGTGTATAGCTTTAAGGTATAGTAGCATCAAAAGAAGAACAGTATTGTGTCTCATAAATTATGTTAGAAGATGTAAATTTAATTTGCTCAGTCTACAACTTCCTTCCTACATTTCTTTTCAACCAAAAATGATGGGACGATGGTCAAGGATTTTATCTTTTTTTTTGAGAGTGGGGAAAGCAAAGATCACAAAGATATATATCTGGATCCACATTTTTTCGAGGGAAAGAATATCGTAGAGGGAGACAGGCGGCGTACACGTCTGCGGAGAACAAGGCAGTTTTCTAAGTGACTTTGCTATGGGCTGCTTTTTTAGAACTCAAGCTCTTGGTAAACTATGCTGCGTCTTTCAAAGTTAGCGAAGCAAGGTCAGTTTTTAAGAATTACAAGGCTTCTGCGCAAGAGAAGTGGGAAACCAAGTGAATTTCCTGATTACAAGCAAGTGTACTTACCCTATGATACAGCTCCAACACAGATTGAACTAGACCGTGAACGGAAAAAGTTTTCTCGTGCATACTATGGCCGTCAAGAACACAAAAGGCTTGTTGAAGTAAAAAATGTACCACCAAATATGTTTACCTATGGGAAAGAAGGTATGTCTATCCCAATTTCTATCTTCAAGGATCAGCAAGACCCTATTATTGGACCTGAGTGGACCTATCCAGGAATTTATGAAAACAAAATTGTGGCGCAGCACTGGTATCTTTCAGAATTGTTTGAACGTGAAGAAAAGGGGACCTTCGAGTCGCCTTGGCAAAAACAAGTCCTCGACAACCACGTCAAAAGAAACCTTGGTAAGGTGGCGTGGCGCATGAGTATGCTAAAAATCAAAACCATTGACATTTTCCAAAAGGAAAGAGGCTCCTCAAAACGACCCGGAGCGGCGGCGGGTACGGATGGCAAGTCAGCCGCTGCAAGTGATAAGCGAAAGAAGTAGTCCCAGGGCATAAAATGTGTGAATCCTAATTGCCGTATCATGATGGAGGCAATGAAAAATGGGTTGCATGGTGTTGTTTTTCCAACATACTTTTGCGTATGGAATTCCAATACGTTTCATAGGTGGAGACACTTTACTTCGAACCCGTGTATGTACTTTCTATAGTATCCTGCATGCTGCTGTAGCTTACCTGCCAGAGCGTTTATTTTTCTTCTTTATTTTGAACACAGTCCACAATTTTTAAAAATCCATATCAAGCGTTTATTTCCCTTTGCTAGAATATTTATCATCATGCCTCGGATTAATACTATATTGTTTTCCTTGTTCGTGGTGCTTTGGTTGGGGGTAACGGGACAGCTAACCAGCGCTATCAGCCTTTTCCCGAAATGTGGAGGTGATGAAAGGGTTGCATCAGCTATGGCGAACAAAACAACCACCCTTTATACTTTCAGCAAGCCTGTTCGAAGCCTTTCCCTAGACTGCTTTGCAAGCGAGGTGTCTAGTGTCAAAGGTGGGCAAAATTCTATGGGAAAAAATAAGGTTATCGATTACTGTGCAATTGACTCTCAGACGGAGTATAGCTACAACCTCGCGGTGCGGGCAACCTATAAAGATGAAAAAGGCGTGGAACAGATTTCTGACTTTTCCATTAAGGATATTAGTACCGGCTCTTTGATCAAACCCACCTTCCGAATGCCGGTGCCAAGCGTCTTTTCTATCGTGTTCACCAACCTTGCGTCCAATGACCGTTGTACATTAAGTATCAATGCTATATTTAATTATACTGAGAATGTTGATCCTGAAGAAGACAAAGGGACTGAGCCGATACCAGCACTGGTTGCTGTGCGGCCACCCGTTGTCTACCCTCTAAAAAATAATAGAACCTTTTTCGTGCTACAATACCCCAAGAATGTCACGTCAGCCTACGCATCAACGGCCCTGGTGAAGCTGGTGAATCCAGAGAATAACTGTCAGGAACTCTGTCCTGCAAGTTACATGGACTACACTACGGAACTTCCGAACGGATATGTTCCTCTCAGCCCTTCGCAGAGTTATTATGCGCGTGCGTACACCTTCTACAACCTCGGAAGCTACAGGGTCTGCTATCAGGCAAACGGTGGAGCGGTGGGACGAGAGCTGGGCATTGTTACAGTTTTCAGTGGCAATCCTATCTATTATGATACATATATTTTTACGGAAGACAATACCATTTACACTAGTGAACCATTCATAATAAAGTTTTGTGGTTATGACCTCGACACCAGGACGAATGGTGACATGAGTAAGCTTGTGGATGACACTGACTCGTGCAAAGATGGCGCGCCATCGGCTGGATTGCCAATCAATACTAATCTCTATCCTAAGAACAATTTCGGTCCGAACACCACCTACGCTTTTTGGACTGTGGTAACCAAAAAATCTGGTTCCTATAAGGTGTGCTACAAACGCCGTGGAGAGGAATGGACGGAGATTCCCAGTATCCATATCGCCTGGCCGCAAGTTGGACCTACACAAAATTCTACACCCACATCGTTTCCGATTCCCATCGACCCTGTTACAAAAGAAGCTTGTCCGACGGCGCCGACGGGTGGTGATCCTTGGGTTGACTATTCTAGCTTGAGGTTTAAGATGAGAAAGAGGAAGCCCATGGATGTGTTCGCGAACATGATCGTAAACCTCTTCTGTGTACCGCGCTCGGCGTTCACAATAATTCGTATGACGCATGACATTGATGGGCAACAAGTTGTATATGTCGTTTTTGCATGCTCTGGAGTCTTGTTGAAAGATGGCCGTCCTGCTTGCGATAGCATAGAGCGCAGCAACTATGCCGTGACACTTAGTAAGGTTAATTCTACGCTTCTGCAGGTCAATGACATCGATGAAATTTCAGGCAGCACATCCATGGCTATCGCTGGTGATGACCCTGATGTCTCACCACGCGTCAGGAGTTTTTTGTCTACGTTGATCATTTGTATTACTGTACTTGCATGTTCTGGAATGTTGCTGTTTGCGGTCCTAAAATACCGTGAGCGTCGCCAGTACTTTGTACAGTTTGGGATGGATGACGACGGCATCGACGACATGTATATTCCAGCGATGATGCCTGCAGGTATGGATGGAACCGGCCACCATGACACCAACCCCCCCCCCCTCTCAAGATCTGGATGCGAATTCAATGAGAGATATTCGAAAAAAAGTGAACAAATAGTCTAAAAACACTGCAGCCTTCTGAAGGGGATCGGGAGAAAGTCTTCCTGATACGTTATCATGGTGAAGATAACAACAATGATATGCTTTTCTATGCTTATTATTTCTACTAGTGATATTTTTTGATTTCCATTTTCGTATTTGTTCCATCATTGAAGTGGAGGAGGGAGAGGGTAAACCCTATGCACATAGTCATAGCCTATGCAGAAAAAGGGTACTTCCTCCATGTTGTATCCATTATCGATGTGTGAATGAGTCGATAATATCAAATGCATCCGCACAATAGGTAGAATTGGAGTTTTAAAAGGGATGACTAGATCTACCTAGTAGGTTTCTATTCCATAGGCCGAACTCTTGAGTCTCAAAGTATTATTATAGTGTAGTAGTATATTCTAATGCATGTGTGACATACTTTTCACACTAACATCTACACTTCTTTTACTATGGTTTTTCATCTAAAATGTCGTAAAATCTGTTTTGTCATCTCTATGTCTTCTTGTGAGCTGGTAGACAGAAATAACGAATTATGTCTAAACGAAGTCCAATATCCCATTAACAGGAGTGGCTTATTTGCTAATGTATTTGCATGCTGTGCAGTGGTGCGGCAGTGATTCTGCAACGCAGTATCATGGACAAAAAAGGCTTCTGCGGCAACAAATTGAAGTTCTGGCGTGGGATTCTTACGAAGATGTATTGTTCAAGACACACAGCCTAGGGCAACGCGCCACCATTGTCACCAAGGTAAATGTATTCGATACCAGAGAATATATCTGTCGGATTACAAGGTAAACTCCCCTTGATTGTCAGTGGTGATGTGGTAGATTGCAACCAAATCGAACACGTGCGTTATTATATTTATTCCCCCCCCCCCCCCGAAAAAAAAAAAGATGAATGAATCACATCCTAAATACTTGCGAAATTGTCTGACAATTGGGAACGTATAATCCATAGGTTCACGTGCTTAACAATTGATCTACTAACTGTTGTGGTTTAGCACTTCCTCCCAATGCCCAGACTTTTGCTTATATCTTTAATGTCCGCTTGGCTTTCTATTATGTGAGCGCCTGCTTTGGTGGACTTATAAATGGTTAGTTTAATTGTTTATATTGCTGTGACGCATTGCGCTTATCAAAATGAGAAAATCACTAAACATAATAATTAATAATCGCTTTTTGGTATTGAAAAATCAAATATCGGGCCTTTTCACGAATTGATGTATGAACACGTCGTATTCTCTTGTTTTTTTCAAAACTTACAATCATATATTATTGTGAAGAAATAGTCATTAATATCTATCAACCATAAAAAAATATAACATTTGAGCAGAAAAAATTCTTAAAGATATTATTCAAGTTAATAACATGTTTTGGCGTACAGTGTGCCGCCTTCAGGCGGGCACCAAGCGGTCTCAACTTACCCTTAACAACATGTCAGGGTTTGAGCTTTTAAGTGTTCGACCTGTAGAGGATCTTAATCTCGTAGCCTACGCAATGCGGCACACGGCCACCGGGGCCTCGTACTACCATGTGGATATTGAAGATAACAATAACGTCTTCTGCATCGGGTTTAGAACTCCGGCAGAAAATAACAAAGGAATTTCGCACGTTCTTGAGCACACAGTGCTCTGTGGCAGCCAAAAGTACCCAGTTCGGGATCCCTTCTTCGCTATGCTTCAACGCTCGCTCAGCAACTTCATGAATGCCATGACCGGGGCGGACTACACCTTGTACCCATTTGCTACCACGAACGAGCGCGACTTCTACAACCTGATGGATGTTTATCTGGATGCAGTTTTCCGACCACTGCTTCGCGAAGAAGATTTTAAGGTGGAGGGTCATCGCGTTGAGGTCGCTAGCGAAAATGCCGAGGCAGACGTGATTCATGAGGATGGAGTACCAACAATAGAGAGCGAACACCACTCGAATGCATCTAGCGTTAGCAAGAAGCGCCTTGTGCACAACGGAGTGGTGTTTAACGAAATGCGTGGGGTGGTGTCAGAGCCGAACCAGCACTTCGCTCAATGCCTTATGCGCACTATGCTACCCGAGACTCACTACACTTACATCTCCGGTGGGTACCCGCCAGATATTCTGAAGCTTACATATGCAGATCTCGTGTCCTTTCATAGACGCCATTATCACCCCTCTAACAGCATGACCTTTACATACGGTAGCCAGCACCCGGAGAAGTATATGCAAGTTCTTGACGCGTACTTCTCCACTTTTGAAGCCGCTGAACCAGTGAATGTGCCGACGTTGAAGGAGCACTGTCGCTTTAAGGAGCCCAAGGTCGTGCAATTGGAGGGGCCTCTTGATGTAATGGGCAATATTAAGCAGCAAAAGCGTATTGCTGTATCTTACGGTGTACCCCAAGAAGAAAATTCTATCTCCAGCGTGGTTGATCTCAGCGTACTAGACACCCTGCTTTCCTCCGGGCCCAGCTCGCCCATGTACAAAGCTATCATTGAATCTCAAATTGGGAGTAAGTACGCTCCGATGCGGGGCTACGCTTATTACCTCTCCTCCCCTATAATCAGCTACGGGGTGTCCGGCGTGGATGAGGAGCGGCCCAATGCGGAAGAGGAAGTTCTTCAGGCCGTCACCTCAGCCCTGGCTTCCACCAGGGACAACGGTTTTGACTCACGACGTGTGCGCTCTGTTATATTCCAGGAAGAGCTGCAGCAGCGCCACCGCTCCGCGAACTATGGAATCAACTTATGCACCAGTTTATGTGCTATAGGTCTGTGCCGTACCTATAACGATCCATTGGACTTTATTAACTGGCTACCGCATCTTAAAAAGTTAGGACAGAACAATGCTACCTCGTTGCTGCCCTACATAAACTCTATATTTCTAAATAATTTAAATCGTGCAGTAATCAGCGTATCGGCTAATGAAAATTTTCTGAGTTCCTTCCGGAAGCAGCTGCAGGCAGAAGACGACGCCTTAAATGATGCGGCTACCGAGGATGACGTCAAGTGTGTTGAGCAGGAAATGATGGATTTGTTAAACCGTCTTCGGGCGCCTCAGAGGACAGAAATGTTGCCAACATTAGAAATCAGCGATATCCCAACGAAGTCGTTTGCGGAACCTTTACCACAGCCTGCCGATGGTGGCAACGCAACATACACTATCAGCTTCCCCACAAACGGACTTGTCTACGTTCACGGACTGGTGCCCTTCTCCCCGGAACTTATCAAACACATACTGGCCGGCGACCTCGACGCTATCAGCCCAAATGTGCCAATTGTACACTCCCTGCTAGCGAACACTGGGGCCAGAAAGTACTCGTTCAAGGAGCAGTCTGTTGAGATAGAGCTTGTGTGCGATGGATTTTCCTTCGCACCTATACTCAATGAGTCCTACGCAAACAAAGACTTCACCATTGCAGGTACTTCATTTGGATTTTACACCACTAAGGAGAAACTGAAGGAGAGTCTGCAGCTCCTTGCTGAAGCCCTTCTCGAACCACGCACAATTTCCTCAGACCCAGAGGTCTACACATGTACTCTCTCGAGGCTTAAAATGGTTTGTACCAGTGTTATTCAGTCTCTTCAACGCTCTGGCGATCGTGTCGCGGTGTCACGTGCGGTGTCCAAACTGACACAGCGCGGGGTGTTACACGAACATTGGTGGGGGCTCTCACATTCCAGACACGTCTCTGAGCTCCTAAAGCAGCTTCAGGGCGGGGAAGACGAAAGACGTAATGTCATAGAAAAGCTGTCAATCGAGTATAGCAACCTGGCAGCTTCGCTTTGCCACTCTATGTCTAATGCCATTTTATGGGCGACCTGTGAAGCAAGTCATCGCATCGAGGTGGAGCAGCTTTTGAATAATTTCAAGGCGAAGTTTTCTGCCTTTGGTTCATCGGCCTCGAATAGCAGCTTGCCCACGCGTCTTATCCTGCCCAATATACAGGCTCCTACGCATGCGCAGAACCTGATTGATAAGCTACCTATTGATACTTCCTATGTCGGCTTCGCGCTTCCAAACGTGTTGACATGGCAGCATCCTGATCAAGCTGCCCTGCGCGTAGCGTGTACTCTCCTTGACAACAAGTTCTTACACCGCCGCGTGCGGGAGGAGGGTGGCGCCTATGGCTCTAGGGCATCTGCCACCTTACAGGGCCAAGTAGGGGGCATCACAATGTCCAGCTATCGAGATCCCAACCCAAGTAACACGATTAAAGCTTTTTTGGAAGCCGCGGATTGGATCGCAGATGCCCGTAATATCACCACTGAAAGCTTGCGGGAGGCAAAATTGCGTCTTTTTTCGTCTATTGACGCACCATACGCAGCTGATACATACGGTGATGCATATTTTTTAAATGACATCCATCAAGAGTTGAAGCAGGGCATGCGAGATGCTCTCCTGCAAGTGAATGAAAAGGATATTGTGCGAATGGCTGAGCTTTTCAGCACAGATAAACAGAAATGTGGCGTATCAAGTATACTTCAGCCGATGGAAGAAAAAGAAGTGTCCTCGGAGACGGTTTAAAGATCCTCTATACATATTAGTGTGAAATTCTTTTCCCCCTCATATTAAATAAGTATTGAAAAATATTTTATTTCTCCTACGGACTCCGTGGGTAGTATTGAAATCGTTCACATAATTTTTTCCTATAATGTTACTCAATACAATTTTGCTATTTATAATATTCACAAATGGAAGTGGGAAATGCGCCCACATTCTTGTTGATAGATACGTTTCTGTGTGATTCTCTTACTTTTTTTCGCATAAATGCTAATGGATGCGTGGTGTCTCCTATTTTTCATGATGAAAGCATTCTCACAGATTTCTAACATTTCTTTTGTCTTATTTTTTTTTGAATGCATAGTTACTTTCACAGCAGTTTATTCTTGCTAGAATATCAGAAGTAAAGAAATGCAATAGATGCGTTATATGACTGGTAGTCAAACAGCTCCTTTATTCGACTCTAGTATAGGCACTATTGCTTGTTGGAGACCGTTGCATTACCCTCACGGCTTATGTTGCAGAAGCTTCCCAAAAGGCTACTGCGCCACCCGCAAATCAGCTGGCTAATATCATATACACATCCCTATCTGATTTGCATCGCTTCTTCGTTGCGTCCGTATACCAGTCCTCAGGATCACATTTATTATTTGAATTATTATTTAGCCACTAATAGACATGTCGATAAGCTTCCGTCTTCTGCTTATAATACTGGTGGCTCATCCTGTAAAAGTCTCCAGGATATGATACGACCGCAGCAAACACGGAGGCGACACTTAATCTCATTCCTATTAGGGTGGACAATGGGATTACTGCTCGTTCTGACCATCACTGGAAACGCTATCGTGTGGTGCCGATCTTACGAAACACCGATCTATCTAATTCCTTACTACCTCCGTGATGTAAACACCCGCTTCCACCATTATGCCTCGGTCAGGAAGCGCAAGGACGGTCCCTTGTATATGAATGCAGAGGACTTTGTTTTGGCGTTGTTGGGAGCACCAGAAAAAAAACTGAAAAAATTCTCAACCGCATCAGGCTTACATAATTTATTCACCGGTATAGACTCCGATTGTGATGGCTGTATTGGTTTCCCTGAGTTTCGCTTTATCTTTTCACTTCTTACCAGCCGACCACAGGATATACGCCAGCTTTTTCGAATTGTAGACAAAGAGGGGCAAGGCTCATTAAGTCTTGACCAATTTGCAGACGTGCTGCGTAGCCTTACAAAGGACGAGGCCGTCGTGCGTTCGTTGTTTTCGCCAATTAGTCGAAGAGGGGGTCTCGTGCGAAAGCTTTTTGGTGACAATGTGCAACCACGGCGCTGTTCCTTTCAAGAAATCAATAACATCGTGCATGCCATCCGGGTTGAAGTGTGGAAGGCAGAATTTCAGCAGTTTGATATCGACCAAAAGGGGTTCATCACTGCGGAAGAATTTTCAACACTCCTTGCGAGACACGTGCTTGGGTCACATTTACCTTTGTATTTGGTGGAGAGCATTCGGAAGCGGAAAGGAGCCACCGCCAATGTGTCGCTTGATGCATGGCTTGGAGTTCATGAGGTTCTACAAGCAGCCGAGAAACTGGGGACGGACTTGGAGCTGCACTGCGCCTCGGGACTCCCAGTTACACGAGCTGCCTTTTCTCGCATTCTCCGCATCGCAGATGCCCCGCTCACGGATGACGTTCTCAGTATTGTGTTCTCTTTATTTGACAAAAATAACGATGGTGCTATCGAGATGGATGAGTTTCTCTATATCATGAAGCAGAAGATTGGCTACCATTACCGTACCCCACCTAGACATGTCAAGGGCCTTGGAGAACTCTTTGTGCAGTGCGTAAAAGAAGCTGCGGATAGGTGACAATGTTATCAAAGCGAACCGCTCAAACTTGAGTATTTTCCTTCTATCAGTCTATCTATACCGTTGTGTAAGGAATTAGAAAAGATTTTTAGAAATGAACTTTATCGCCATTTTTGTAGGAATCTATCGCCATAGTGGGAATATCTATGTGAATTTATGAATTCAGATTAGTCTTGACTTTCACATTTTTCTATTCTAACTCACCAGTGAGTTCGTTAATAGACAAATGAAGAGAAAAAATTATCCTTATACGGCCTCTCACCTTTTATATTTATTGTCTTAGGTGATAAGTTGGTTCCCACGATAGGCTTAGTACAAGGTAACGTTAATTTTAGGATAATTATATTAAATTTTGAATTTTTATTGCTAATATGAAAATGAAGTACAGGGTTCCAGCTGAGGACGAGAACTACGTTGCGTTTCTCGCACAACTCAATGTACTTTTCACACAAATCAGTACGACCGTCAATAGCAAGGACCTGAGCAATACTAGCAAAGTCAAGCTGGCTGATATCCGCGCAGCGCTGGAGGTGTGGGTCGAGGAATTGGGTAAAGTCCTCCCACAAGGCTTGATGGCGACTTCGGTACCGCAGTTAGTCGCGTTGGCATCGGCAGACGCTAACCTTGCTTCATCACCAGTCGATGGGAATGTGGGTGAAGAAGTGCGTTCTGACACTACTAACATGGAGCTTGGTAGTATTAGATCGGAAACCGTCACGGAGTCACTACAGGATTGTGGGGGGTCACAACAGCAACACACATTCACTGCAGGTGATTCCACTCACGACATGTCCAAGATATCCTCCAGACAACCAGCTAACGCGGTGTCTGACAGCATTTTTAGAAGTAAAACCATAATGGATCTGGTCGCGTTTGTACAGCTCCTACTGGCCAACGGCCTACCAGAGAGCTCTAAGTTGCGGGCTTCTGCAAAGGCTATGGTACGGTTAGTTGTAGTGCGGTGCTGCTCCACCGTTGCTGCGGGGCTGCAGCACGTTTTACATCAAACATCCTCCACTACCCGTGTCTTGGGCAACGCTAAAGCAACTTCTTCAACAGCTTCCAAGGGCAGCGATAACGACAACCGCGATGAAATAGAGTGTTTGGAAATTTTCGCACAACTTGCAAGCGATATTCGTCTTTCTACTAGGACACTTAAGCTGTGTTTGGAGTTGGTGATTCAACATGTCGATATAAGCTCTCCAAGCTATATGCGTTTTGTCATGCAGCTCTGCGTGAATGTGGCAAAACAGATACGGCACTCAATGTTGTACTTCCAAAGTAGCTTTGAACGGGAGTGTGTGCATCTTGTTGGCCAGGAGTTCACTCGAGTGGCTGCCGCAATCGACAGCACCGGTATCGATGCATGCGCTGAAGGTCATTTCAAAACTAATGAGGGTAGTGACAAAGTTCATACATCGCACGAAACCACGAGTCCGGAGGTTGATACGTATGTACAGCATCACGCGGAGTCCCTCCGACAGCTGTGGGGGCCTTTTCTTACTTACAGTATTGCTGAGGTCGGTAGCGTTCTCACAAGCATCGTAAAGTTTCTTGTAGAAGCATCCGCTATCCACGAACTTGGAGCGGTAGCGGAGCTTGCCGCAGTTAAATTGGATGCTCAGACCGCTCTCTTCTCGTTGGGCAGCTCGATGCTCTTGCTGCCCAAGGATGGCGGAAAGCGTGGAATTGATCCTTCCGGAAAGGAATTGAACAAAAGTATGCGCAACACAACTGAGCAGTCTGTTGAACATCCCACCGCAAGCGACACTTCAAATGAAAATCTCTCTTCATCACGCCATGCATTTTCGCCTGAAACTCCACCATCTTCTAATAATTTAGCTGCCCGCTGTGTATTACTATGTTTAGGCGTCAGCTTTCAGGCAGAATACATCACTACGATAGCGGAATGCTGTGGCGATGAGAACGACGGACGCCTGGTGGCTACCAGGATTCTCAGCGATGCGTTGAACAGCTTATTGAAGGAAAAGGAAGGTTGTGGTAATGCGCTCCTGCGGAGAATGCTGCAGAGAGCCAAGTGGCGGCGAGCCCTGCTCCAAGGTATTGTTAACTGCATTGTATCGCTGCGGCCTGTGGTACTTTGTGCTGGGCTAAACAGCCTACGCCTTCTTGTTACCAGTCACAACACAGAGCTTATCAAAGATGTAGGATATATTTACTCCTACTGCGTGTTTCCGCTGCTAGAATCTAGCAACAGCCCGAATCACGTCAAGAAGTACGTACTGTCTCATCTTATTAGCACGTTCTTGAGTTCGTCGTCCGATGGCGTTCCCATGCTGCTTCACCTCTACCACGCCTATGACCTCAATATTCATGCCCATCAACTCAACCCTGTGCAGAAGTTTGTCTCCATATTGTCACAGATCGTGCGGCAGGCCTCTTGGGATGAGTTCTCTTCCGACACAACACCCCACCAGCCCCAAGACCGTTTGGATGACCGCAGCGCCACAAGCTCTCTCGCTGCGCAGCCCTCGATCCCTTTTATGGCCCTCAACTCCCTACTGCTTATCATGGAGGGTCTTGGACGACAAGCACCACCGGAAAGCGATTACGACTCTCGCACTCCACACTTATTGCAGGTACTAGATAATCGTGTCAAAAAACTAGAGCAACAGCGTTTTGTGGAGCGCTTTAGTGAGTCCAAGAACGCTATCCACGAATACTTTCAGGTAAGGGAAGATGAAATCGACCCACAGGACACAAACCCGATGTTTGCCAAGGAATACGACCACAAGTTGCTCCCTAGACCAGCCTCGAATGAAACGGAGGAAAAGATTCAGCGCGTTGTGGACTTCCTCCAGGATATTCATACACTATATCCGGAGACAGTAGTGGACTACCTTACTACCCCGAGCGTTTTTCCCTTGCAAGTGTGCATGGCGTACATGGAGCGCCTCCCTCTGGCGGGATGTGGACTGGTGGAAGCATTACGGGTCCTTTTCGCGGCGCTGCAGCTGCCCAAAGAAGGGCAGCGAGTTGAACGCATGTTAGAATATTTTGCTTCTGCGTACTTCAAAGCAAATAACGTCCCAGGGATCGATCGTATGGTGTTCCCCTTTGCCGATGCTGACAGCTGCTTCTTAGTCGTCGTCGCAAGTGTGATGCTAAACACTTCCCTGCATAACCCCATGGCTGGATCTCGCATGAGAAAGGATCAATTTTGTGACCAGTTGTTGAATTGTGATGAACTGAAGGACTGTCCGCTTGCGTTCTTCCACGATATCTTTCATACCATCAATCAATACCCCCTCAACAGCGCGAAAAAGAACAGCCACATCGCGCAGGATAACGGCCACGGTAGGACTAGCAGCAACGCTGATTCCTATGGAGGCCTGGACTCCCTGTTCATCTCCACGGAGGAGCGCCGGATGTTGTCCTTTGAGCTGGAACGCCACCATTTAGTAAATGAAATCCAGTACCTTCTTGAGCGCAGCAGCATGGAAACGCGCAGGCCAATATCTGTGTCGGCCGAAGGATGGTCGTCGCAGCTGTGGTGGTGCGCCGCTGCGCGGGATCTTTACTTAAATATGTGGCCTTCAGTTTGTGTAATTTTTGGACCCTCCCTGTATGAGGGCAAAGCCTCACCGGAGATCATAAACAAGTGTATTCAGGGACTTCAGTCACTCATGTGCATTGCAGCCAGCTTTTCACTGCCGACAGAGTGTGAAGTTGCCTTGTTGGCATTACTACGTATGAGTACCTACGATGCGGTGCGTGAGCCCTGTCGTAACGCCCTTCTGGCTGTAGCCACAACGGCTCACTCGGCGAACTTCTCCGCTCGCTCATGGTACTTGATTTTTAATCTCCTCGTGGAGTTGCACTCGGTGTCAGACAGCGCCGTGCGGGGTCAAGTGGAGAGCATGCTGGCGCGCATCGAGAGTTATACCCGTCGCTGGTGCGAAGAGGCTCCCATGACTAGTACACCGGACAACTCGGAGGCGGAAAAATGGCAGCCTGATAGAAGCGATGGCGGGCGTACTGGTGAAATTGTACTATATGACGATCCTGGAATGGCAGTGTATCATGTATTGGAAGGCCTTGTCAGGTGGTTGCTGAACGTTCCTGAGGGTAACAGCGCGCGTCTTGGTATTGGGCTTCGCTATTTGAAACGTGTCCTCAGTTATTCCGTGATCACACACTCAGGCCATGCCACTGATGTTGTAAATCTTATCAATGTGCGCATCTTTGCGCAGTTCGTTATGCCACACTTAATAGAGTTGGTGTGCCGACATGCCGCAGTTAGTGAGTGCTTGCAGGTCATCTTTGAGTGCGTAGTGGACCTGTTGGACACGATGTTCACCTCAACCTACGCGAATCTGCGCTATGTAGACACTGTAGCCACAGATAGCACAAAGGGAAGTAGCTGCAACATCATTGAACCCTCACAGGCCCATATCCCTAGCAGTGCCACATATCTGACCGATTTTGTTACCTGTTTTGACCTATTCAAGCTTTGTTTTGTGGGCATTCATCCATCCTGTATGCTGGTAAAGGTGCATCTCCTGCAGGCCACAAAGGAGCTTATGAGCCGCATCCTGCGCTCCGCGGCTCTTGCTCATACTCGGCCGCAGTGCATCAGCAACGATGATTGCAGCAAGCACACATATCTGGCCCTTGAATTTTCGGTGGCTATAGCAACCTGGCGTCGGGTGCTTTATCCTCTGGTACGCGCACTTTCGGACCGTGAGACATCGGGCACAGAGGTTGTGAGCCTCGCGGGGCTGGTACTTCGCCAGCTTGTGAGCCTCAAGAATGAAACCGGCAGCGCTGTCGGCAAGGGTGTGCCGACACCCGTGTCATCACCACCATTCGTACACATCGTCTTCTCAGCCCTTCTGGCGCATGCCGCATACATAGGATGCATGTGTGCAGACTTGGACTGCGCGCAGATATGCGTAGCCCAGCTCAACACAATCTGCAGTGACGACCTCAACACCGCCGCGGCGAGCAGCCGTCACCGCTTTCCAGAGCAGCCAGGTGACTCCCTCACAATCATGGAAGATTCGCCCAGAGTGCCGCCCTTCCCACTAATTGAGGCAGACCCACTGTTGCGGAGTATCGTTGAGTGCTTTAGCAAAGGACCAGAATTTATTGTACTGCACATCCTGGAGCGATTGAGCTTGGTTCTGCGGTGCGAGCGTGAGCAGATCCGCTCTGAGGCGGTTGAGAACCTGCGAACTCTCTCACTGCAGCTGCAGCCGAGCCAAGTGCGTGTTGTAGCCCTCCAGGTGTCTGAAGTGGTCTTAGAAAGCACTCTCGGCTGTGCAACGCCGCATCACACGGTTTCCCTGACGGATCCCCGTCTGGTGAGCTTCTGTATCTTTATGATGGAGGTTCCACCCACGATGAGGCAGTGCTCGCGCACTGCCTTCAGGGTCACGCTACCGAGTGTGCTCGGCTTCCTGACCAAGGAGCTACTCGCTATTCTGCCCGTCACACACTTGGGTGAGGTCGCCCAGGGGATCATGGAGCAGTGTCTTGTCCCGATAGTAGTGTCACCTCGTGTGAATTCCCCTCTCACACGCGCGGCGGCGGCACGTTCGTTGACTCAGTGCGCCTTGTTCTGTCTCACTCGGCACCAGCAACAGCAAGCGACAGCGGGGGAAGAAAAGGCAACCACAGGGCCCTCCAGATACCCCTTTACGAGTGTGTTGAACTGCATCTGTCTGGTGCTCCTCTGCACGCGGATGAGCATCGAGGGGGTAGTGCCTGCCGATGCCGAGTACGTCAGTAAGACATGGCCTAGTATCAGCGGTGATCCTTTCGCGGGAAAGGAATCCAACGAATTTGTAGACTACATGCAAAGGGCACAACAGGCTCTGCGGGTCCTGTCAACGGCTGATCCGCTCGACATTATCAGTAGACCGCGTGGTGCCTCAATGTGCATTATCACAAACGACAATGTGGAGAAGCAGCAGCAGGTCATGCATCCCCAAGCGTGCAATGTCCAGGCACTGGGCAATGGCACACGAAAGTCCCTCGGCATGAGTACTACGACTATGATAATCGTAGATAGGGAAAATGATAGGGCTAAGGCAAAAGAAAACAGTGTGAGTGTCAGTCTACCCTTGCACCAACTGACACCGGAGGTTGAGTTGGTGACGGACCGGCAGCTCGTTGAGTATTGTAACTTTCTCGTGCAAGTGCTTTCTGGTCTTCCTAAAATGCTTTCCGATGCATTAGCGCGGCCACCGCCGGCCACCCCCAGCGGTAACTCAACGCAACAAGAAAGTGAAGCTGAATGCGATGAGCAGCAACAGAGGGCCGGTTGGGCACCACCCGCAGCTCCGGCCACGGTGTTTATAGAACTCCTCTTGGAGTCCGCAAGGATTCTATTTGCTTCACTTTGGCGTGTTCGGCATGCTCAGGAGATGCAGCCCTTTTACGCACAATGCACGCCCAAAGGTCGCGAGATCCCGCCTGAAGCTCTCAAGACAAGTATGGCCTTGCTGCCGCACACACCCCTCCGCGGCGTCCTTAATAGCTATGTAGAGCTTGCTATCCTTACAGAAAGCTATCCTCTGACGGAGCTTCTTCGGATTACAGTTGATATGCTTCGTAGTATCCCGAACATTCAGGCTGGTAGCACCATCATGCAACCTCCACATTGCAACAGTCATGTGGACTCATCCGCCGCGGCTGAATGGGCTCTTTTGCAGCGCATGAGCCCACAGGAGCAGCAACACGTGCGTGCCTGCAGTGTCGGTATGTACCAAGAGCTCGCGATGGTTGTTTCGAATTGGATCAAAAACTTTATTCAACCACCCGCACAGCTGAGTGTGCAACGGCGGGAAGCCCTACGAGAGATGTGTCTCGACACGAGTCTCATCCTATCCCTTGTCGAGCTGCTCTCACCCACCTTCGAGCCTCTCATTTTGACAGTAAAGGGATTCCTAGTTTGGTACATCGCACAGGGGCAACTGACAGTCCCAGTCCACTCGGGAGCGCTGCCCAGTAAAGTGACGTCGTCGCCGGTGCTGCCGTCCGATCAGGCCCACGTGGAACACGTAGTCGAGACTACGAAAGGGACGGAGAAACAACAGAGCCGGTCAGAGCAACAGTGTAGCTGTTCTTGTGATTACGGCGAATCCGTTTGACATAACGTAGCTAAGAATAGGTTAATCTATCGCAAGACTGATATAGCCCTATCAATGAGCTAACAATTCTAGCAGTCATGCACACAGCGAAGCAGTCTAAATTCCTATTGCTGTTATGATTATTGTTAATAAGGATTTATTTTTTTTCTTTACTTTTTATTTCAATACTCGACAACAATGATATATCTTTCGTTTGGCGTCTTATTTGTGACTGCTGACGCTTCGAGGGGGGAAGTCTGCGTGAATCGTTGACTACATGCGCAAAATTATTATAGGATTGCCAAGCGCGCGATGATAAATTATTTACTTGTTTCTTTTGAGGGGTTTACGCTAGGTCGAACATAACTTGATTCGCTTTCCATTTTGAAGTTTGTATCTGAGGGGTTGAAATGATGACGTGAAAGGGGTAGATGCGTGTGTGTAGGAATAGTCTTTGTTATCTAGAAAATTTGATTTTTCCCAAGAAATTCAATGCGACCCCCTTAGGCTAATATTTTTTTGGATACATGACAACATGCTCCTAAGGGGGGACTGGATTGACTTATCATTTTGCCATTTTCCCCTCTTTTCTCACAGTAAATTCATAATAAACGTTATGCGTTATGACAACTAAATACCCTGCTCCTCCATGTTTTAGTTATAGGTGTGGTCTGCTTGCTTGAATATTTGTAGGGTATATTTTTCAGTTTCCATTTCCCCTTCTTCTCTAATAAGTCGTTGATACAATAAAAACAAGAGCAAAGGAATTTATAAATTAAAAGACAAACCAAGATGCCTTTTTCGGTGAACTATGTGCTAGTGGCGGTCATAGCCATCACTTGGCTTATCTGTCAAATATATAGTCTCGATGATTTTATGTTTAACCTTACTTTGATGCCAATGCAGTTGCATGTTTGGGCAATATTTTTGTACGTCACAGTGGAGCCGAATCTGTTGATCGCGCTCATTTCGATTGTGGTTCTCCTTAAGTGCGGCATTGTGCTAGAAAAGGTTATGAACAACAGGGTGGCCTATGCGACGTTTCTCGCGTTATCAGCCCTTTGGACTGCCTGCGCTTTGTTCGTCATCGAGCTAACGTTAAGTGTGATCTGCGGGACAAGCCGTCGCATGTACTACGGAGTTTGGCCAGTACTGGAAGCAATTCTTATTGCTCAATGCAAAATCGATGGATCAGCATCGATGGGATTACAAAAGTCGCCATACGGAGTGACGAATGACGACACAGCATACAATCTTGACACTGGTCGAAGGGAAAGTGTGCAGGCCAAGTGGTCCCTTCGAAGAAATAAATTTCGTGTGCAGCACCTGCCGCAGGCTGTTGTGTTTCTCGCTCTTATCAAGGACATCGTCTACTTAGTGTTAGGGGCTAGGGGCTCTGCGGAGAGCAATAATGATGGTGCAACCAGCACTATCCCTAAACACACACACGGCAGTTCTACGTTGTTATCACTATGCAGTATGTGGCTTGCCTGGGTGTATCTGCGGCATGTACAGCACCAGATAAATTTCCCCTTTGACGCATTGGTATATCCGGTCTCACTACGCCGCGTGGTGTGGCGGCTTGGAAACTTGTGCTCGCGTGCCGTGCGCTCAATCTATTCGGTTCTTTGGTCAACATCTGGTAATGGCAAGGTAGAAAACATGCTTTCTATTGTTAGCAACGAAAACACATCAACTGAAAATGTAACCCTGCTGCCCGGTTCTACAGTCGAGGAAGCAGAGCGGCGGCGCGCTGCTGCTCTCGCAGCGCTGTCGACTCGCCTTCAGCAAGTGCGTGTCAGCAAGGATGAAGCAAATGAAATGTGAGAAAATGGAATACGTGAACAAATTTGGAGGTGCATATGTCTCTCTTTTCATATCCTTTTCTCTCTCCCCGTCCCCACAGGTGGGTACGTACGGCAACCATGTGCGCTATGAATGGAATGGATGAGATAGTGACATGAGCAAGGTGTGACGACGTGGCACGTGAGAGTATTCAGGAGAATAAGCAAGATAAAGTGAAGAAAGATATCGGTATATATAGTTTTACATCAGGGTAACGCTTTCACATGCATTCTCGCACTCCTGTTTTCTGGTTTCAAGGGCGTATCGTAACATAGTACAGGACTAAGAAACTGGAACACGAGTATGGGCGCCTTACTTTTCTATTTTGTCACCGTGCATGGAAGCGCAGCGTCCCCTCAAAGTTATTGACAGTATGTACCCTAAAAAACTAAAGCTTCAACAATATCATTAGTCCATCTCTGTTCAATACTTCGTCACGTAGGATCAAGTAACTAGAGGCATGTCATTATGTTAACAGTTCGATATTGCAACACACTACAAAGTTGACGATGCGACGACGGTAGCTGCTAAGACAACAAACCCCCTTCGATATCAGCAGCAAAATGTCTCGGCGATGTGCCACAAAACAAGCTTCCATTCGACGCCAAAGATAAGGTTCTGGCCTCTAGGGCAGGATTAGTGTATGTCTATCTTCACTGAACAAGATTGCTGTACTGGCTTCTTTATAGCTTTCTATCAACATCACGAGTCAAGTCGTCCCTCATACATTAAAAGGAAGTGCCGCAGAGGCGGCGGCGCAACAAAACACCTTCACCCATGAGCATCATATGTTTCAGCGAAATCCCTTATTCGAGTAGAAATTGATGCCCCCGCCGAAGCAAATTAGAACGGTGATGGGCAGTTGCTTGGAAGTACCGTTGCTTCGGTGTTCGGCTTTGTCCTCCTCGCGCTTTGCTGTCTCTTTTACATAGTTACTCTTTGTGTCATTATTATTTCCAATGTAGGATCAATATTTACTCTAGTTACTGGTAACTTCTCTCACACAATAGAGAGTGCGATGTCCTTGAGAACTATTACCATCAAGTTGCTGAACATAATCTTCTTGGTAGTGATGCGGATACAGTGCATGAAAAACTGCGTGTGCCTCGGATGACCATCGACGATGGGATCATTCTGTGGGAAAAAATGTCGTTAATTACGTCAGGTCCACGTTTGAATTATGCTAGAACAGTATTTTCATGACTGCTTTTAAAGGGGACACAAACTTCACGTTAGAGGCTATTGCCTCAAAAGACACTGAGGAGCGCCTGCTAAGGCTTCTACGTGGGTTTTTATGTGTTGTTTACCCACCGCTTCTAAGAGGCAGTAGCTTATATTATAGTGGTAGCTTGGCTCAGATATAGCCACAGCTGAGAATTTGTTGGCCACAAGTAATGGTCTTACACCTAAAAACACGAAGTGCATCAGTTTTAATGAGCCTACCTGCTCGACATCGCTACCCTAGGGTTGTGTATGTGTTGGAGCGGCATTGTTCCTCCGTCCACACCGCTTGTATAGGTTCCGCCGCCCCTCATGATGTGGCTTGTAGTACATCATCTGAACGACCCCGCGTGGCGGCATGGAGCGGAACGATCACACCGTTGTTTAGATTTCCTTTTTATTGTACGTGCGTCTCGATGTCTCTGGCACATGGGTGCGCACTAGGTTGAATTACCTTTTTATCCATTTTAACCAGACTTGGAGTGATCCACAACGAGCGTTCTTTATACCCTTGTGTATGACACCGTGCCCTGGCCCTTGCACGTAGAATGGGTTTCCATTGAAAATATTTTAACCTCATTTTTTTGTACCTAATCACATGGCGTGTGGGTCTATACCAGGCGTTGAGTGTTGGTAACTCTGAGTGTGATGAATATGAGCAACTCTGTTTGACCCTCATTACTTTTACTTTCCATACTTTGCGCGAAGTTTCTAACCGCTAGTAGAAAACCGAAAGCCTTTTACAAACAATACAAAGAGCATTGCATATCCCTTTATACACTTATACAACATCCTAAAACTACGCAAATGGGCCAGCAAATATCTGAATGCACTCAAACACCACTGGATTTGCTGGGGTTGCAGCAAATCAGATGGAAGGGGAGCGCGGGCGCTTGCTACGAGGTTTGGAAGTGCTCCCCATTCTGCGGATCACCGGATTTGATAAATGCACTCTGTTGTGTCATCCATTGGACTTGCCTATCGTGGTGTTCGGCATCCAAACTCTACGCCACCTCATTGGACGAAAAATGTGCAATTTGCCCTCACTGTTGCTGTATCCTGTGTTGTCCCGTGGGGCGTTTGTTCACACGGTACAATCTCCGCAAGAAATCCGGTACCGAGGGCAACATGGTGGGCGACTGCATTTGCGTCTGGTGCTGCTCCCCCTGCGCGTGCTGTCAGGAACTACGCAGCGTGAATATGAATGGATGGCGTATCGTGGGGGACTTTGAATTACCGGATCTCTGCGCTCCTAAAATCAAAATCCTTGTCTAAATGTATACGTCTTTCTTTTGAGTATAACATATAATCGTTTTATTTTTTCACATTTATCTATACACACAACTTTAATGTGATTTTATGGACTATGGTGAGAACGAACTTCGAGAATGGTATGTGGATGTATCGAATCACTACGTACACACTGCTGGCGGTCTTCCAGGCACGTTGCAGTGGAAAGCCTATCACGTTTTGACAATAGCCCGTTTCTGTATGATCAATAAGCTCACTGAGTACGCAAGTGTGAAGGTAATCCTAGGGTTAAAAGTATCGCCAACTTCACACTTTGTTAGGCTTTACGATTGTATACACTTAGTCAAGTCAATGAAAGCCCTGTTTTGCGACAGGTACTAAAAAATTGATACACCCTCCATCATCGCAGTTATACATGCAAATTTTATACACATTATACCCAAATGCATCGGCCTCCTTTTAGCCACGGTCCCATTATGTGTTTACATATATCTATATAATATCAATTCTATTATATTCATCTTATTTAGCTTATATACTTTCCATCCCCCAAGCGCGAGACATTCAGGCACGGCTTTTATTTATAACTGTGAAAAAAGGTCGTGTAACTTTCCAATGGGGATAAATATATTTTCTCTAAGTAATCGTAATGAGTATTTTTTATAGATATGGGGTAGAGTCCCCAAAAGCGATTGTCGAGGGGAAGCCGATACTTCTCCTGGTCCGGTACATTCTAAAGATGTCGGGAATCTGGAAAAATATGAAAGGGAAAAGATATGGATCTCACGAGCAACTGATGTAACGCGTCGAGAAGCCATCATTTAGGCACTTTTTTTATTCTCGCAGTCTTGATTTTCTACAAATCAATTTTTAGTACTAGTTTCAGGCAATACAATACAAAATATGAGCAAACAAAAGAAGTTTACACCGCTTCGAGACGATTTGCCCGACAGCCCAATTTGTTGCCTTTAGATCCAGATTGATGTGGTATCTTGATCTCGACATTGAGCTTCTTCCTATTCACGGCTTTCCCCTCAAACGCCTTTGCACGTCCTTCGCGGATTAACTCCTTTAACTTTGCTCGTTGTGCTTCGCGCTTCTCCTTTGCAATCCTTCGTGCCTCTTCTCTTAAAGCAGTCGATTTGTTGGGCTTAGAGAGAGGGGATCGATCAGGTTTGCTGGAAGGGTTCCCACTACAGGCGCCCTTTGGGGGAGGTGACTGCGCACGCTCCATAACAGACAACAACGACGCCTGTCGAAGGAAGGAGGGCTTTGCACTGCGGCTCTCGCATCGCTCCATGTGTTGCAGCGGCTTTGCCTCGCCGGTTGCGGCACCGTTGGCATGCAGGACGTGCTGGTCATGCTCCCGAAATCGGCAAAGGTAGTTTTCAATGTCGGTTACATTGTGGTTGAGTTCCAAAAGCCAGAGCTTCCTCTGGAGCTCGCTGCTCGTGTTCCGAGCATCTACTGTCGAGACTGTTGGCTGGGGCTGGCGCACTGATCGGACAACCTCATGAGCCCTTGTTGCTCGTTCAGCTTGGGCAGGAAGACTAGGCGAAGATTGCAACCTCGGTGGCTGGGGGATCACATTCTGGTCGTGCGGAACGGGATGTTGTTTATTCCGCTCAGCAGCGGCCTGTGCGCGCCGGGCAACTGGTGGCGGTTGAACCTGGATTCGTGGAGCATCACCTTGGGATTCGGCCGAGGCGGAGACGATGCCATGTTTCTCCCTCACGCCGCTGCCCTCCGGGGACACGAAGGGAGGCTGCCCACTCCGCTGGCAGGCCAACATCTTTGCCGGCATACTCGGCTCTGCCTTCTCATTCGTGTGCTGGCGCAGTGGCGGCGTTGCCGTTCCCAGTACTTCTATGGGCAGCTGCGCCACTAGGTGCTCGTTGATTGGTGTTGTGATTGGTGCCTGCCTTGTGTATGGACATTTATGGCCCTTGATTAGATCTCGATTCTTCTTTGGGGTTTTGTCTGTTCCAATGCTAAGCGCGTCAGGCGGGCAGAGGGGTACGGCAGCAGCAGCCGTGGCGGCTGCTAGCCCCGACGCGCTCCGATGCGATCGCGATGAGATGATGCCAGAGGCAGGGACAACGTGTTTTTTGGCTTGAGACTTTTTCCTGCGTGGAGGGCCTATGCGAGCTTTGTTTGAGGATGGTATCACAAGCAACACTGGAGACATCCAGTGATGGCCAGAGGACCTTTCACTGGATTCCGCGAGCTGCTCCTTCTTCAATGCTATTCTTGCTTCAACACCGCGAGCTCCAGCGCCCTGTCCAATCTGAGGGGGGTGTACCATCGCAGCTCTTTGATTCCTACCACTGCGTAACCCCTCGCTGCTGTCATTCGGTGTAGTCGAGCGGCCGCCCGCTTTGCCGCTACCTCCCATATGGAGATTCACCGTATCAGGCGGCGTCCAGACATCGCGCGATGGCTGAAAGGGCTCCGCACTCCTGACTCTTATAGGACTAGGGTGGGGCGTATGGCGTGCGGGAGAGACGGCCGCAGGCATGGCTACATAGTGTTCCCGCTCTCTCATGGCCGACGCTTGGTCATCAGGACTTCGGAACTTCACCGTTACGTCGGTCACAGGTGGAGCATCCACGCGCTCCTGTGAACGCGACAAGGCAGACGTCGTCATGTATCGTGAAAAGTTGCCCCTTGCTTTGGATTGGGATCTATTCTTGACAACACTGTACGGTATTTTAGGAGACAGCACTGAATGGGGTTTGGCGACCTTTGGAGCGGGCTCCTGCACTCCCTGCCGCGGTGACATCAACTGCAAGTTTCGAGGAGATAGTCTCGGCATGCGTGGGGGTGCACTAGAACTGGACTTTTGCATTTCCCTCTCCGCTTTGAGGGCGCTCTTTACAACTACCAACATCTCTGCCGCCGTAGGTCGCTCAGAGGGAGCCAGCACAAGCATTCTTGTGATCACCTCTTTAATGATAGGCGGCATCTCATCCGGCATCGGCGCCAAGCTGCCCGTAGTAATCTCATTTACAAGCCTCGCGAAGCAACTACCAGTGAACGGGCGGTGTAGGCATGCCATCTCGTAGAAGACACACCCGAGTGACCATATATCGGAGGAAAAAGAGTAGGATTTTCCCTGAAGCACCTCCGGCGAAATCCATAGGGGTGAGCCAACAAAGGTACTCGTCAGGTTGCTACTCGTGAGCTCCTTGGCGGAACCGAAGTCGCCGAGGTACAGCGTTTTTGTGTCCTCAGAAACAAAAATATTACTAGGTTTGATGTCGCGATGAATGACTCTCTGTGCGTGGCAGTGCGCCAAGGCTTCAAGCAACTGCGTATACCACATTAGCAAGGTATGTGTCGTGGGGAGCTTATGAAGTTGTAAGAGGCGTGTGAGGAGGTTGTCCATGTCTCCACCCGCCTCGTGGCGCAACACGACGTACAAATTCCCATCGTACACAAAAGACTCAAGAAAATGAATAATATTAGGATGCTGCACGGAGAGTGAGGCTTTAAGCTCCTCCATACCCTGAGCACCATCAGCGAGGCGTTTGATGACGACCTGTTTGCCCGGAGTGTGCCTATCTATGGCCAAGAAGGCTCCACTATTACCGCCAAGGTCCCTGACCTTAACGTAGTGTTCCATGCCCATCCTGAAGCTTAAATTTGTATATTCTACCTTCTACTTTGTTGAATCAAAAAAAAAACGTTTGTTATTCAAACTTGCAGCTTGAACGCACATAGAAAAAAAAGGCAAGAAAGTTAAGCATGAAGGCAAAGGAGCTGCAATGGTTCGAGCGACCAACAGAATCTCGGAAAAAAGAGAACTATGATCCCTTCCCGTCACAGACACACAGCTACACTCCCTCAGGGGAGATATGGTCAAAAGAAAAAAGCACAGTAGGAGAACCATACCGGGCACGTGGAAAAACACAGCGTGGGAGATACAGGTATGTATCCCCAGCTACTGATGCGATTTAGAGTAACTATGTGAGCCGGAAAAAAAAACATAGAGAATCAACAATGGGTGGAGTGGATGTTATTTGTATTCGGAAATTGAACTACTTTCTGAGATGTTATATAACATGTTATTTTCTAAATGAGACAAAACCCTTCTTGCGGGAGTCATCATTCATTAACTCAGGTCTATCCAACCACATGATGGGGCATAAAGTAACGAAATATGGCTAGATGAGAAAGTTTGTTTTCAAGCCTCCCAGACAAGACTCTACTCGTCAGCCCATTTGGCATAGCCATCGCACTCACAACCGAATTCATGAGGGGAAGATGGCGCGGGCATTTGACTTTTTCCCTCAGCCCGGCGTATGAAGTCCCAACCCACCATGGTGAAATGGGCGACCGTGTGAGAGATAGCAGTTGCAGTGCTTTCAAGGAACCATTCCTACATACACATACAAAGGGGAACATGAAAATGCTGAGAATGAAACGCCTCGGCGTTGTCTCTGGAATTTCTACACATGCGGGGTGGAGGGATGTGAAGCGCTAAAAAATAATAATTTTCTGCATTTACCTTCTGTAGTCTCCGCTTTCGTGGTTGCGAAACGCTCTTGAAAGTAGAGGGTCCCCGCGCCATGGACAAGCCCTTGCACACTTCAAAAAGATACTTGCCCACTGGACACCGTTCGGACGGTACCGGTCTCATCATCGTTGTGATTCGCGCTCTGTTCGAGAAACTTGTCTAATACCACGACATCCTCGATCAAGGGCAAAACCCTCCACTGTTTGCGCGTCGGCACCAAGCCCAGCACGACACTCGGGTCACGGACGAATATGTTATGTTCGCGATAATACGCGTACACGCGCGACATGGTAGTCGCCGGAAGCTCCTCGAGAATCAGCCTGAGTAGCGCAGCACGCCGATCCAAGTAGGCTTGGAGCCTCGCATCCGCGGCCGCACGGGCGCGGGTAGCGAGGTCCACCTCCCACCGCATCTCCCCCGGGTGGTAGTACCCCCTCGCCTCGGATGGTGTTGGATTGCTCAGCTCCGCACCGCTCAAGCTTGATGCGAGATCGGAGGATAGAATCGGCGCTGCGGTCCTCTGCCCGCTCTCTTCGGTAGGGCGGCGCGCGGGGGATGGGGCGGTATCGCTCACGGTCGTCGTCACCCCCTTGAAGGTCTGCGGCATCGCGGTGACGAGGTGGGGTCCGACGTCTAACAGCAGTCGCTCCGCGTCCCTCCGCCGCTGTCGCTCAAAGAGCGCGCGCTGAAGGAGCGCGCGTGCCCAAAGCACCTCCGCCGCGAGCACACTCAGCGGCTGATCCCGCATGTCGTCCACGTTGGAATACTCGACAAAAACGCCGCCGATGGAGGACTTGCCGGCAGTCGGCGCGACCGCGTCTGGGCCCGGGCAGGGGGCCCTCTTTGGGCGGCCGTCCTCGTCATCCGCGGCCCTCCCCTTCAAGGGGGTTCCGCCCGCGAGAGATGCGTTCCGCGGGGCGGGCGGTCCCGCGTCGGTCGTTTGGCGGCCCTCGACGTGGTCGGACGGCGGTCGCGCGGGATCCACGCCGGGGATCAACTCCGGGGATGGCGGCGTGCTGCCGGTGGGGAAGGTCCTCGGGGTGGTGTTGTCGAGGTTGCTGAGGACGTCCGTGGGGCACGCCGACGACCCGGACATGAGCTGGACGAGCATCGAGGCGGTGCGACGCCCGCGGTGCACCCTCTCGCAGTCGTAGGAGGGTGGGTGCAGCGGCTTCTTGAGCTGCTGGGCGCACTCGAGGTAGCACATCGTCGCATGGGGTCCCTCCTTAGACACCGTAGAGTCGTGGTGTAGGGAGCCGTAGATACGACGGAGCTGGCTCTGGAGCGCGTCCTCTGCTTCCTTTGCGTCTTGCAAACCGGTAAGCGTCTTTTTAAAAGCGCATTCTGGTGTACCATCGTCGCCTCCCTTGGACCCGGCATCGCGCAGGCGAGCCTGCCCGCGCAGCTCCAAGAGGCGACTCACGTAAGCGCTCACCAACGGCGTGTGCAGTAATTCATCACACGACGGACGTTTCGCGCACTCCAGTGTTAATGTCGCGTCGATTAACTCCGATACGATGCGTGGGTAGTGGCTCGGTAGCGGCTCCCGGTCGCCCATCATGACGCGTACGATGAGCCCACCGATGTCCGTCGAGTCGAACGGGTGCCTTAGCGAGAGAAGTTCATAAAGAATGCATCCAAGCGACCAGACATCACTCTTGGGGCCGTAGGACATACCCTGAAGGGCCTCTGGTGGCATGTAAAGTGGGGTGCCTTTCACTGCTATCCGCATGGGCGATCGGACCATCTTTCGAGAAGACTCCGAGGCACCCCCCCGTGCGGCGTCGTCCGCGGCATGATTCGGCAGGGTTATGTCGATTTCTGGGCGACGGCTGCCGCCGTTGCCGACGTGATGCGGACTACCAACAACGCCCTCGGAGTTGTTAGTGGATGGTGATGGTAATCCACTGTGCTGATGCTCCACGGTGTGATAATGGTGAGGACCACCGCTCTCCCGCCATTGTGGCCTCTCGGTCGTCGGCAAAAGGGACGAGGTGAAGACCGCGGTACCCCCAGCATCCTTTTTGGCGCTGCTAAAGTCCACTTTCTCGGCAATACCAAAGTCGCCCACCGCAATGGTATTACTGGCCTGATTGAGAAACAGATTGTGTGTCTTAACATCTCTGTGAACAATACCGTGCGAATGCAGATAGTCCAACGCCAGAAGCATCTGGACAAACCACAACATGACCTGCTCAAAGTCAAAGTACTCGTCCTTGTCTCGCTGCCGTGCGAGCAGATAGTCCAAGTCCCCGCCATCGTAATAGTCCATGACAAGACACAAGTCGTTTTCGTCAAACAGGAAAGCATCCCGCTGCGCTACGATATAGGGGTGGTGAAGCTCGCTTATGAGGGAAAGCTCCTTGGCAGCCTCATGGCGCTGGTCGCGGTCGAGGTCCTCAAGCGGAATGCGTTTCATCACCATCGTGGTATTGTCCGAGAGGCGCTTTATTTTGAAAACAACGCCAAAACTACCCGCGGCCATTTTCTCAATAATGCTGTACTTTGGAGCATTCAAGGTTTTATCTAGTGGCATTGTAACTGCTATAATGTAATAGAACTCAGTCCCCGTAACAACTTTATAGAGAACTGACCACCGTTTGGTGCGTTCACTTTTGTGTGTGTATGTGAAATAATATAAGCTCCCTCTCCCGGGGAAAAAAGAGACGAATTGGACTATAACTGAGTCCTAAACCAAGTGGTGCAATGAGAAAGAAACATGTGAAAAAAAGTGCATAAAGTATCATACACACCCCTGCAAAAACACGCGATCGGGGCACCCTCCTCCACCCTCCCCTATGGAAATCCCTTCCGATTCCCCTCACTGGAGGGATGCAGAAAGGAGGGGGGAGGGGAGGGGAGAGAGAAAAGCAATAAACACATAGGTGCAATGAAAAAAGGGAGAAAGGGAAAAAAAAGGAGAGAAAATAGCAGTACAACTAAATCTTAAAGAATAGCGATACGAAAACGCAGGCTATTGAGGGGATAATGGCTCCCCAATCATTTCCATTTGCCGCGCGCGTGCCTCAAGGGCCACGGCATAGGCCCAGTGCAACTCCATATCGTCTTGGATTCCCGCGGAACGGCGCCAAGCGTGCGGCACGCACGCGAGAAAGACACGTCGCGTGATATCCTGCCTGGAGCCCGGCGGATCTGCTTCGGGGGGAGGTGCGTCGTGGGCCAGAACGCGACGGATCGCCGCATCCGCCAGGGCCCCCTCCCAGGCCGCCCGATGCGCCGCGAGGAGGTCGGCCACCTCGCGTTCGTAGCCGAAGACGCGCCGGCTGCAGCGGCAACGCCGCGCGCTCGTCGAAAAGGGGCGCCGGAGAAGCGCACGAGCGGCCCGGCGGATCGCCACGCGCCCCGCAGGGGAGGGGCCGGACGCCGCCACGGATCCGCCCGGCGCGGGATCCCACAGCATCCAACGGGTGCTGTTTACAACCGCCTCCCAGGTCACGCGGGGTGGGGGTAGGAGTCGCAGCAATCGTCGGCTGTCGTCCGCAGCAACCCCCACGCGGGATGGCGATAATCCGCTCCTCTTGTCCTCATCGAAGGCGGCATGGTGCCCCGGATCCATGCCCTCACCGACGCTACCCCCCCCTTTTTCCAACGACTCCTCGTCCGAATCGCTCTCCAGGCACCATGGCAGCTCGCCGTCGGGTTTTTTTCGGTAGGCCGCCCCATCCCCGCCAAGGATGGGATGACGGTCGCTGAATAGGCTGTCAGTGGGGATGGCGGCGGCAGGAACCTCCCCCTCGTCATGAAAAAGATCCTCTTCCACCGCCTCGTAGAAAAAGAAAGCAAACACCAGGGCCCGCTCCCGCCGCATACCGCAGTGGATCAGATAATCGACCCACGCCGCAGAAGAGTCCGGGGTGCATGTAGGCTGGGAAAAAGGCACGTGGAAAGTTTTCCGCGCGATGCGGGCAAAGAGCACCCCCCTTCGCGGGCCGCTCTCCCTCATGGCGGTGACCTCCTCCGAGGGCGGGGCACGGCCTGTTGAAAGCCATTCGATGCCCTCCTCCCGCAACAACCCCCGCACGGCGCGCCTCTTGACGGTCATCGAGCCGCTACGCAGCTCCTCAGGATAAAGAAGCGCCTTCTTCAATTCCCCACCGAAGTGAGGGGAGCCGCCGCCCCTTTGAGTAGGGCAGGCAAACACGTAGACTTCACGTCGGAGGATGTTGTCGAGCAGGCGTTGATGTCGACGACACCCCCTACGGTGGCGCGCGGGAATGCATCGAGCAGACGGCGGCGGGAAATGGGAGCTGGGGGAGGAGGAGTGCGGACGCAGCCCATCGACCTCAACCCACCGCTGCACCCGTTCCCTGGCGTAATTGCGAAGCGTCCGCAGCGGCCGATCGACCCCACGACGCCAGCGCTCGAAATGATTCCTTAAAAGAGGCCGAAACGGCACCGACGGACCCCCCTCAAGGGCGTTGTCTGCCATGGCAAGCGGCCGCCCCCCGGTGGCTGGAAAAAGGCCTGGCAGGGCGGCCGTTGGGCACCCCGCCTCGCGGAGCAGCGCGTCGGCGCACAACATGGCGGAACCGCCCTTCGCCACCGCCCTTCGCGCCCCCCCCACGCAGACGACCACCGGGAGCAGCCTCGGCGCCACAAAATAGTCGAGGAGGGGGGACGGCGGACTTCTCGAGCGCTCCACCCGCCACCTCGACCGCTCGACGCGGCCGCTCGCCCCTGCCAGCCAACGAATCCCCGACGCGGTGGTGGATCCCCGCTTTTCCTCGTCCTCTTTTCCTCTCTCGCCACGAACCTCCCCAACGGCACCGCCCTCCTGCCGCGGTCGGGGAGTCGCTACGAGGCACGCGGGCAGCGCGTCGCCGCCCTCCACGCGGTAGAACTTTCGCCCACGCGCATCACTACCAACCCACGCGGGGAGCGATGGATCCTCCCTCTTGCCATCAGCTAAAGACTCCAGGAAGAAGCCTCCCCTCGGGCAGGCCTTCTCCGCTCGTCTTCTCGTGGCGTTGTGGGGCCGATGAAGCGGGCGCTGCCGCCACCATCCGGGCGGCGATCCCCCCAACGCCTCGCCGATAAAAAGCGCCGAGGGTCCACCCGGAGCGGCCCTCTCGGACGATGGCTTCGCCCTCCGAAGTGAAACCACACAATAAACAAGATAGGGAGCATCCAGGAGTGGAAAGGAAGGTGAAGGGGGGGCAGCCGCCCCCGAGGCGGAGATGAGAGACGGTGGATTCGGCGC